CCAAATCAAATGAGACCACTTTTCTTCAGAAGTCACTTAATTTGTCAACTGAGTCCAGATGTGTGTAATTTAAATTTAGTATAAATATAGTTATTTTATAATGTGCTCATTGGTTTGTCGGAGAAGATAAGGGAGCAAACAGCTTCAAGAAGACCAAGTACAGCAGACAACTCTCATAAAGCAACAATCAATCCATCAACCGAAGCCTACAAGAATACAATACAACTGCAAAGCAAAAGGCATGTGGAAACACTGCAGAGATCCAAAGCCCAGGTTATACATAACAACAAGACACCCATGTATCACACTCTCCACAAATCTGACTTGTATGGAAGAATTAAGAAAGACATCTTTTTTAACAAATGCCGCAGAGCATTTAGGGGACACAGCCAACACGTCAAATAAAGGTTACGTGACAACAAAATGAATTTCTTTGGCTGAATGCCATCAGATGCACACGATCACTACTGTTCAGCATCGTGGGGGCAGCTGGAGGAGCGTAAACCAGAAGAAACACTGTTTGAAGCTACAATTAAATTGTTTAGATAATTTAGATCAAAGAATGTTCATGAGTTAGAAAGGTCTCATTGAAGCCCAGACATAAATTCAAATAAGAATCTGTTGCAAAACCTCAAGTTTTATGTCCATAGATGTGCCTTCCAATCTGACTGTGCTTCAGCTGTTTTATGATCAATAAAAATGGGCATTACTGTTTTTGTCTTTAGTGTTTCCCAAACTTACAGAACATACATGAAGAAAAGAAGTGGCGGTGCACACATATCACATGTAAATAATTCAAATTAAAAAACAAATGGAATCGCACAAATTCAGGACATTTTACCACAATAATTTTTTTCCCACTTTAGCTAGAGCATTAATGTTTAACTATTCCTTGTAATACCTTTTCAGACTACCAAACATAAAATATCAAAAATGGGCAAAGGTGGGAGGGACATACTCCAAAAAATGAGATATTAGCAAAATTTATACATATTCCACTTCACAATTATCTTGTATTTTGAGTTGCTCTATCACCTAAAATTCTAATAGCGTGCATTGACATTTGTAGCTGTAACTTGAGAAAACGTAAAAAAGTTCGAGGAATATTGACACTTTTGAAGAACTCTAATGCCAAGATGAGCCAAAGAAAAGTGAGTCCGGATGTGAATGCAATTTCTATGAAAATCATCATAAATGCTAAGGTGGCATTTAAACGTCTGATCTCATTCAGACAACGACTTAATAACTAGATTCCTTAAACACTTAGACTATCACGTTATAGGTCAATAAATTAGAGCATTCAGCTGACAAGTGAAGTCACATCAGTACTGAAGCTCAGAGTAATGAGTAGGAGGGATAAACTCTGGTCACAGCTGCTCGTTGTTGGTTTGGGGGTTCAAATGGGAGACAGCTTCATAACTGCCATGGCCAGTTCTCCTCATGTTGGCAAAATGTGCTTATCCACACTGACATATTGATGCCAGTGGATAAAGCCATCAAAATCCCTGCTCTGCTTCAGAGGTGGCCAACAGGGTTTTACAAGCGAGTCATCGTGGGATTAATCGTCAAGCCGCAGAAATAAAAGTAATTCGTAGGAAGATGGAAAATGGAACTGCAATATTTTATGGAAGTGCTGCTACATTCATCGGAAAGGTTGTGGGTCCAAAAGGATTTAACTGGTTGGTATGATTCCTTTTACTGACGCAAAAAGATCCAAACTAAACAGAAACTTGGCATAAATTAGCAGCACTGTCAGCCTTTAAAGCTATCTAAATTCATTAGGAATAAATGTTGCTATCATGAGAGCAAAGCATCTCCCCACTCACGTCACATTGCAAACATATGTGCTCAGTTCAGCTGTCTTTTTAAATGAATATCATGTGAAACAGCTTTATTCTTTTATTTATTTTCTTCTGCTATTTTATTGCTACACTGAACAACTTTAATGTTTAGGTTTAAAATTTGGTTTTCTTCTGGATTAAACAGGTGAAATTTATCAGCGAAAGCTGGTGACAAGTGAAGACTTCACAATTCACACAGTAAAATCTATTAGAAAAGTATTTGTGAGCGTAGTACCAGTAGGATTACACTTGGATTTTGTTTACGGTATTTAGTTTCATACGCTGGCAGCACATTGGTAATTAATTACCAGAATTAAAGTAATGGTGTTAATAAGTAATAGAGAATTTCATATGTATTTTTCACTTTTCACAGATGAAGTCATAAAGTCTTAAGAAAGAAAAAAGAAAACAAATCTAAAGTATTAGGTGTCACAGGAAGCAGTTGCCAAAACCCCAAACATCCAAAATGAATTATGTTCAAATTAAAGCATAAATGAAAAGCCAAGTTTTCAATCACCTACTTCTTTATTTTTTATTGAATGATTAGAATCTTAGCTGCAAAGTAAGAAAGACGATGACTAACAAAGTTTTGGTACTGCTGCCTGATGGCATTGAGAAGTATTTGTCTCACAGATATATTTTATTTCCTTTTTTCTCAAACAATATGAGCCAAATCAAATCAATCTGTCCCTATGTATAAATGTAATTACCCCCAGAACCTCAAAACAGCTTGTGCTATCAGGCTTTTGTGATAATGGGCAATGAGTTTTTTCTGTCACTGTGAATAGATTTTGGTCACTTTTTGTTTCAGAATAGTAATTCAGTTACACTGGATGGTTTTTGAGAATAAAAAGCCTGTTTAAGGTCACGCCACAGGTTACCAACAGAGTCTGAGGCTGAACATTAGAACATGTAACTGAACACATGACAGTCACATGAAATCAGACATGATCTGATCTTCAACAAAGGTAATGTTCCAGACAATCAACCAACTTACTAAGAGTATTAATTATTGTGGTGGACTGTAGAAGAGGCAAATAAAAGGTCAAACAAATCTAGAATAGTGTACTCTTCAGAGTTCATTGATACTGTGACATCAAATGTGACTTTGAATTGAACTTCTTCCTAATTCTTCTATTGTTATTGTTTTTTTATTGTGTAAATTCAAACTAACTAGAATTTCTTCAAACAAATACCAGGATAAGACCTTTTTCAGGAGACAAGTGAAGTGATTGCACAACAACAAAAAACAAAATAGAGATCACAACTTTTGAAGCAACAATTAGATAATTAGTTTAAAACTAATTATCTAACTTCCTGCTATAACTAGCTGTACTGCAGAGCTGCCAATTATGGGCATGTAAACAAGAACAATGCAAGCTGTTTAGTATAAGCTGTGCTGTCATGTATGTATTCTATAACTAACAACCAATTTTATTTTCATTTTAAAAATCCATCCACATTTTTAACATTATTGTTCCCTTTTCATTTATTTTCATTATATAATGATAATCTATATTCTGATGAGAAAAATGATCGTAGCTACTTCCAATATAAGAAATCTGACCACTGAAGTTTTTCAAACGTTTCAGTACAGATGGTTTAGAATTTTATTTTATTATGTATTTTATTGTATCTTGCGTTAAAAAAAAAAAAAAAAGGAGCCAAATAACCTTAAAATGGGGCTTTAGCAGAGGTCGGACATACTGCCTTGGAGACGGCAGGTGTCTGATAAATTAAAGATATTTACGTTCACAAAGACTCATGAAACTCATAAAACAAGTTGAAAGATAGGTGACTGGATGTCTCCCTCTGCTGGTTAAAATCTAGCACATCAATTCCAGTGAAAACATTTTTAAGCAAATAAATTTTAAACTTGGAGGCATTTTTTGCAAACTGAACAATACAGGAAAAACTTTACAAATAAAATAAAGTAAAACAATAAGATATTCCTTTTCTATTCCTTTAAGTTTGTTAAGGTTTCACCCTAACGAACAGACATCAAGCTCTTTTATTGCTTTTGAAAAACCAATGTCTTGCCAAATTCTGCATAGTGGAGTTTAAATATTTGTACAGAGTATTTGCGGGCAAGTATCTAACCTCAAATCCACCTGGGCACTTTTCTGCTTTTTCTCTCTGGTTTCTTCGAATAATTCTACTTGATTATGATAGAATGTTGAGAAAATTGTGTTAAGAAATAGCAAAACAGAAACAAAGTGAGGGTTTAAAATACATACAAAGAAAATAATCAGCATTGATTATAGGAATAATAAAAACAGGAAATGTCCTGAATCAGGGCTTGAGAGAAGCATAATCCATATTTATTCATCTGTTTATCCATCTATTGTAGGCATCTGAATGAATTAGAGCAGAAGTCACTAATACACAGGAATAAAAAAATAACAAATAAACAAAATGGAAAAGTAAATTTCAACTATAAATTGGTCCTATGTTTTGTTGTTAGTTAGCTTAATTTGTACAAAGCAATTCTTTTTAGCCAAGAAATCGGCCAAATATGTTACATTTTAAAATAATAAAGGTATAGAGAAGCTTTACTGTTTGAATATCTGGTAAATGTGGTGACATGAGTATTCCTCACAAATGTATGTAATACTGCTTAAATTTTTTGATGGGACTACTGGTTATAAAACAGTTACTAGATATGGGAATAGTCAAAAAATGTACTCAGGTAGCATTACTTCAACATATGTCTACTCAATAAAAATGTTCTGAAGTACTAAGTATCTTTTTGATCAAAACAAAAATTGAAAGCCTTACATGAAAAAATGCAAATACATTATGTAAAAATATCAAATTCAGGCAGAATAAATACTGATTTGTGTTATTGCTCCCATGCACATGCAGCTGCTTATATAAACAATTCCATGGAAGTCCAGTTGAGCACTGGGTCCAGCGCCAGAAACTGGTTTGTAGATAATGGTTACAGTATGGTTATTTCATTATTTTTTTAAATAAAATATGCTTATTTTCTTATTTATTATTTTTATAAAATACATTTGCTATAAACAGCAAAGAGTTAAAAAAATAGAGTAAATTATTTTTATTTTATTACATAAGTTGTTTTAATACACTAACACTTCAGATTGAGATATTTAAAAAATACACAAAAAGAGAACGGACAAAAGTGCAATAAAACACATTTATTTTTAATACTGGGAACACTGGTCACAAGCAGGGCTTCAGTCTGCTGGTCAAACTGGGAGAAGTCCAGTGAGTTCTGAGTCGTCCTGGTTCTGTTTACTGGACGTCCTGGTTCTCTTTTATCCTGGCAAGGAAAAAAGAGAAATTATCCAAAGTGTCATAGAACATACATATCTGAATCCTTCACGTTCAGAAAAATATTTATCGGTTGTTTAGAAGCTAGTTTCTGGATGCAAAGTCAAGTAATTCTGCTCGTAAAAATTATGTTATTTTCTTTCATTCTTACCTGTGAAAGGAAATGCCAATGAATCCAGTTTGTATTGTAAAACGGTTGAAACAAGGACGACCGCTCCACTGCCACATTCAAGATGGCGGCGACGTAACGTAGGACGGAGCGCTCCATGAGGCGTTTACGTGTTCATGTCTGTGGGGCAAACAACCAAAGATTTTAAATAAAGATAGTGATACTTTTTAAAATAATTATACTATAAGAAAAGTAAAAAATGTGGTGCAGTATCTAATAAAAGAAAGTTTTTCTTAAAAAGGTTGATGTAATTGAGTAAATCAAATGTAACTAGTTACTACTCACCTCCGATGGTTTCTGTTATATAGGCTGCAGTTTAAATCCATATAAAATGTGTTTCACATTTGTTAAACAATGTTCAACTGTTTTTGTTGTTGTTATTTGTTCAAAGTATGTAGATTTGTTTCCTACCATCTGGTGGGAAAGTTGGAATAAAAGCTCAACTTCGAACGCTTTTGGGTCAATCCGGAGTCGATTTTCACAAGGCGTCACGAACTACGTCATCTTTGTGGGCCGAAGCTTGTCGCAGCAGATGGGGTTCTCTTTTTCTCCTTTCCCTCCTTCCATCATGTTGTAGCCTCATCATCTGCTTGGGGGGCAACAATAAATACCGTCTAATGAAAGCTCGTGTATGTTCTAGTGGGGAGGATTTGCCATCCTTAACCGATCGGTTCCGTCTGCACGCTATAGGTAATGAACGACGAGACAGAACCGGAGAGCTGGAAGAGAAACTCCGGGAGCTCCAGGTGAGGCAGATCAGAGCCGCAGGGAGAGTTGAGCATCTCCAGGCTCACAGATACACGACATGGTGGCATTGTAGGATCTTCAGAATATTTTGATTTCATGTCTCTTTTTATCTAAACTGATCAGTTTATTTCATTACAAGTTAATTAACAGGCGGTGTCTTTCATGCATTCATGTTTTATGTGATAAATACAGAGTAGCATTTCATTATGAATTAGAAAGGGAAAAAACATCATAAAGATGTCATGCATTTCTATTTCACCCCCTTTAATTTATCCTTTTGAAAAGGGGTCTACAACCTGCATCTTGAACTTTTGCCTCCTCAATAAATTTGATAAGCATCCATTTTGAAAGCTCAGTAAAGCAATACTTAATTTCCTTCCTAATTATGTTCCAAAACTGCCAAGAAACAGCTCGATTTTTTTTTCTTATTCTACTGTATTTTGTCTTAAATGATTGTTTCATGATGCTGCATCTCCCTGTTGATCTCAGTGGGAAGAGTGGATATTTGTGCAGGGAATGTGTTGGGGTTTTTTAAATCATCTTATTGTGGTATTACTTTTAATGTGTGCACAACATGTTGATTGGCATTTTCTTGTTTCTTTTAGAAACATTCAAAAACAAGCTTTTTTTCTCCATCTTGACTGTTGCTGGAATCAATTTGCAACTTTATGAGATGGTAGTTTAGACTTCTGTACAAAAATTGCTTCCATTGCTCTCCACATCATGCTGGGTAAATATGTGTTGTTGTTTTTTTTCTTTGTTTTTGTTGTATGTAGTATTGAGCAAATGCTGGCTGTGAATCCCGGAAAGACGCCCATCAGTCTGCTGCAGGAGTATGGAACGCGGATAGGCAAAACCCCAGTGTACGACCTGCTGAAGGCCGAGGGACAGGCCCATCAGCCCAACTTCACATTCCGTGTCTCTGTTGGCGAGATCAGCTGCACCGGCCAAGGGCCCAGCAAGAAAGCAGCCAAGCACAAAGCAGCCGAGGCTGCTCTGAAGATGCTCAAGGGAGGCCTTGGAGGCCCAGTTGGAGTCGCTCTTGGAGAAGACGGTTTTACTGAAGTTGATGTGTCTGTGGATGGAGATAGGTCAGACTTCTGAGTAACTTATGCAGACAAATGTTAATTCAGCGTAAATATTTTCACTTTTCTTGGTATACTCAATGACTTGCAAGCCAGCCTAAGTGACAGCTCAACGTTTAAAAAATGCAAGATAATGGTTTGTGTGGTTTGAGTGTTTCCTTCTCTGTTTTGTGTAGCTCTCAGTCAGAGATGAAGACTTCAAACAGTTCCCAGCAGTCTGAATGTAACCCAGTAGGAGCCCTGCAGGTAAAAAAATCTTTGTCTACTGTATTTTATTTATCTAGATTTTGTTAGTATATAGTTGCAATAAATGACAATATCATTACAAAGTTAATCAATATCAGTAGCTTACATAGATTTCTTACACACATAATGATGATTAAATTTGATTATTATAGTTTACACTTAATAAAACCCAAAATTAACATATTACATCATATCTATTCATTAAAAAAGTGTCATGTTTCGATCCACAAAATCATATGAATTGACAGATATCAAGCAAAATGTCAGAAAAGGTCAAAGAAGTTGCTCATCCAGAGTGTTATGTCTAAACAAAATCATGGAAAGTTGAGTGAATGGAGGAAAAAAAAAATAATTGCACTGTAGAACTGGGCTTCCCATTGTACATAAATTTATTGTTACAAATGCATTTGGAAAAGAACTGCTTGAACTACAATAAATGTTAAGTATTTAAATGCCAGGCATTCAGGCTCTTTATACGAGCAATATTTTGGTGAAACTTTTTAAATAAAGTATTTAAACGTTTTAGAATATAAAGAAATGATAAAGAGTAGACAATGGACAGAAACATTTGCAATTAAACCTTGTTGTAAAATCCAGTCTTTTCTATCCGCTTAACTTTCTAGTCATATACTTGAATATAGTACTCGGTGAACAGCAAGGACCTTGTGAAGGGACTCTATTATTGTTTGCTGGGCAACAGTCAGCAGTGCTCCCTGTGATTAGTTAAGTTACAACATGACCTCAAGATTTTAGTATTCAATATCCAAGTTGTTTTGGTTTGATGTATGGTTCTATCTATTTAAAAAAAGATGGTGTGTGTAATTAATCTATGTAACATACCAGTTTAACTTTTGAAATTTACTAAACTAAATTAACTTTCGACTTACTTTTTACTTCATTGTAATGCATTTTTCTGTTTATATTTTGTAAATTTTTTTCTCTGGTGTTAATTTCTGTCAGGAGTTGGTGGTGCAGAAAGGATGGCGTTTGCCAGAGTACACAGTAACTCAGGAGTCCGGTCCAGCTCATCGCAAGGAGTTCACTATGACTTGCAGAGTCGAGAGATTTGTAGAAATCGGTACGTTTAAAAATGTTTGACTCATAGAATACATACTTCATCTGTTTGCTTCTGTCTTGCAAATGTGCAATCTGTTTTCTCCTGTTCAGGAAGCGGCACATCTAAGAAACTCGCCAAGAGAAATGCTGCCGCCAAGATGCTTTCTCGAATACACAACGTGCCGGTGGATCTGAGGAGTAGCAATGACGCAGAAACAGAGGAGGACACATTTAATATTGTAAGAATCAAATAGGAGTTATGAAAATTAATAAAGATAAGAAAAGGTGATAAAACATCAGTGTAGGAAAAGATGCTATTGTGGTAGAAAATGCTAAACTGTAACAAGCATAATTAGTATTTCAGACACAATATTTAATGTATGCTAACTGACGTTGACTCTATTTCTCTTTAAATTAAAGCACATGGGAAGCAGGGCGGAGTCGGGTAAAAGTAAAGGCTACAGCTGCACGTGGGACTCCCTGCGCAACTCTGCTGGAGAGAAGATTCTGCAGCTCCGCAGTCACCCTCTGGGCATGCCTTCTGACTCCAACTTTTGCTCCCTCCTGAGTGACCTTTCTGCAGAGCAGCGCTTCGACGTCAGCTACCTTGATCTAGGTGAGCTCATGAATTCTCAGTCAGAGCTCCAGTACTACTTCAGTTTGCTGCAGTCTGGCCACAATCATGTATATGCTTCAGCAGAGCTTCTAATGAACCTGAGTTATGACTAAGTTGTTGCAAAAATTTTGTCACATCTCAAATTTTTACGGAGCATTTTGTCACATTACAACCACCTGAATGTGTTTTATTTAACTTTTAGTTGGGAAACTAACAACATGTAGTGCTTGGCTGTGATTTGGAAGAAAAATTGTATCTTTAATTTCATCAAAGGATAAATAAAGCTGCTCTATGAATCCTTAGGAGCTGATTTGAGAACAAACAGCAACATGAAGATGGCTAAAACAGATTAGGGATTAAGTTCTAGATAGGTTTAATGCAGCCTCAGGATATAAAACAACATCCAGTTCAATCCATCATCTGGAAAGAGCTTTGCACAACTGCAAACTTAAAGAGACTTTCTGTCCCCCTATGATGACAGGTAGGGGGGCAATGTGTGTTAGGAAAGCTAAGACACAGTTTCCATTGTGAAATTCCATATTAGTTACAACATCATGGTGTGGAAGAAGCTGCTCAGAGTTGTTAAGAAGTTTAATATTACCAGATATCCCGGAAGAAAACCCATCAAAGGGTGCAAAATACTTAAGACTGGCAGGGCGGTTTACCTTCCACTGTGATAACGACCCGAAATGTAGATTTAGATTGGCCTGGTCAAAGGTCAAACCAAAATCCAGTTGAGAATTTGTTGCAAAACAAGAAACAATTCTGACATCTTACCACAAAGAAAGAGCAAAAGTATCAGTCTCCATATATTCAAAGCAAGAAAATAATAATAATTTAGGGCAAAAATAGGTGGATATTATGACTCCAAAGGCTTTTAGATTTGTTTCCTGCAGAACCCATAAAACACATCAGGGTTTTTTTACCCTTCAAAAGTTTGTCCTCTTTACTGTAACTATCTTGAATCCTTTGACTGAAAACCAATGCAAAATACTTTCTATTTTAAGTGATATTAAGCAAACCCCCATTTGTGATGAAACAGTGGGACGAAGGTTGTAACCTAGTTCTGTTTGTAAATGTAACCACTCAGACTGTCTAATGGAAAATGACAGCAGTTAGGCATAACAGAAAAGAAGCAGTAATAATGTGTTCCTGTCCTGTGTTTCTGTTTTCAGAGGAGCGCAGCCTCAGCGGCCTGTGTCAGTGTTTGGTAGAGCTGTCCACGCAGCCAATCACAGTGTGCCATGGCTTCGCTCAAAACATAGACGCTGCTCGAGCCAACGCAGCTCACAACGCACTGCAGTACCTGAAAATCATGGCAGGAGGGAAATGACACACTTTCTCCGTTTCCTAGCCACAGACTCAAACTCACCAGTACACAATATGCCATCAAACATCTCCTCTTTGGACGAAGGAGGTATTTTTGTGACATATTTATAAAACAAAAACAAGGAAACCTCAAATTTGACAATGAGAAACTTTTTCTGCCCTGACATTTACACATGGAGTCATTGTTTTTATTTTATATTGATTGATGGGTGCCACTATTCATATTACTGTCTAAAATTTATAAATAAATTATGTACAATTTTGTCATAGAAAAAACTTTCCCCCTTTTTTAAACTTTAGACTTCATGTAATCCAATATATTTTCCTAAATATTACCAATAAATACATATATCTCAGAAACTTTAAGTGTTGCTGTATCAGAGTAGGCAATGATTTACAGCAAAATATTTTAAAAAGTAGGTTATTTGATTAGATAGATATAGAGTTAACTATTTATTAGTCCCAGAATAAAATTCATGTGAATGGATGTGTGAAAGAAACTCCCACTCTGTTGAGAAATTGAATTTTGTTAGCTGCTATACATTAAAATGAGCTTCCATGAGTCTTAAAAAAAATAAGTCTCAAGTGACTGATTGTTGCTGTCATTTTCTACATGTTTAAGACTGAAAATTGCACAACACCCTCCAGATTTATTGGCATTATTGGTGAAACTGTGTTAAAAGCCCTAAAACGTAGTCATCACTGTATTTGCATATCTAGGAACTTTTTAAAAAAATCTAACTTTTATGTTATTTTAATCAGTGAGTGGAAAAGAATATTTGGATAATAAATTATTTGCAGCAACATGACTATACATATGAAAATCTTTGTATTGTTATTTATACAAAGATTAATAGTAATGGATTACTAAACAGTTCATATAAATGTTTAGTAATCCATGACATCCTTTTCTCTGGGGCATAAAATGTGACATTTCTATTAGCCACTCTTCAAAATGGAAGAAGCAACGGCATATGCCATTAAAGATGGACGAATCCGTTTTGATCTCTAAATATGAGAATGACAAGAAAATCTAGAATTGGCTATATTTACACTCAGTTATAATTTCGAAACAAATTTCCAGTTTAAATATGAATTTACTTTAAGGCTTTTTACACCTTCTTACCAGCTGCGAATAAATCGATTTTTCTTGACAAGTTTCAGAAGTGTCTCTATTAATAGCATGTGAATTGGAAGCTTTGTGTGTCCACAGCTGTTCTGAAGTGCATTTACTCCTGGATCAAAGACATTATACAATGGCTCTCAACTGTGAATACATCCCTTTTAAAAGGCCAGGTTTTTATATAAAAAAAGAAAATAAACAATTTTAAATTATTTTAGTTACAATTCAAGCAAAACATTATTAGAGGAAAATGTAAATACCTAAGCTAATACCCATTTAAAGCACCTTTTGATTCAGTGTTCCATCAATTATAATAATCCTTTAATAAAGTTCTACATCCCAGAAAGACAGTTTTTACTTCACTTATTACCGTACTAACTTCAGCCAATGCTATAGGTTCCAAAGGATTAATCGATCATTGTTTGAAGGTATCGATCAGGAGTAAGTCTAAAAGAAAAGCAAAGTTGTAAAGGAAGGTTTTGCAACAATTTATTAGGATCTCATTTTTACAGGGGTGTGTCAGGTGAGAACTGCTGTCATTATAACAAAATATATCCACTCTTTCACACAGACCCAGCGCATAAAGCTACCACAAATTATAACGTTACCTCTAAAGCATTGTGCATGTAATGACCATCATTTACATCATTTGTTTTATTTTGTTTTCTTGAACTTGGACTTGAATTGTGATTATCAGAAACTGTTGTCTGTGTAAAAGCTTTCTCCACTACTAAGAAATCCCTCCCTCATCTACAGTATGTATTGACAAATAGTTTTAGTTATCTGCTGTTTCATGTATTTGCCTACTAAATGCAAGTGAAACATTTCTGTGGGTTGTAACCCTTCTCAGAAAAGGCAGATATGCAAACTGTTTTTTGATCATTAAAGGAGGAAGTTAGGAGCTGGTTTTATTCAACTCTCTTTGCTGGCACTTTTACACATTATAAAAATGAAATGAAATATGATCTCTATTGGATGTTGATGTTTCTTCTTTTTCAATAAAACGTTTTTTGTAAGAATTTAAGTTGATTTTGCCCTGATTAAAGTACCATTTCATCACACTTCACTGTCCAAGTCTTTGCTTGTTTACACAGTTCTGTTTCATATAATCATGCGTTGCACATTTTCTATGTAGCCTCTGAAACATTCACATTTTAAGAGTTCAAGCAAAGTCAAATGGAAAAGGTTTGCAGATCTTGTGGTACGTTTTAGTCGTGCCTTTTTCTCTCCGTCACCTGCCGTGTCTGTCTAATGAGGGGCTGATTTCTTCATCCGCGTAGCCGCTGCTGTCGGACTGCACGCTGTCGCCCCGCACCACTTCACCTACACAAGCAGGAAAAAAACAAAACACATTTAGCTCTTCTCCAAGTTCTGCAGCTGCAGTCTAACCTGAATTTGGCACAGAAAAGGCATTGTTTTCTCCTTGACACCTGCTCATCGACCTGAATATGCATGTGTCACTCACCATGCTCAGTACCTTGAAAAAGTATTCACTCCCCTTGGAAGTGTATTGGAATCTTATGTGATAAACCAAAAACAAAGTAGTGGGAAGTAAAAAGGAAAATGACAACTGTTTGTTTTTTTTATCATTTACTAGAGCAGCATGTATTTATATTCAGCCCCTTGAGGCAACACTTTATTCAGCAAGTACAGCTGCAAGTCTTTCCAAAAAACTTTGCACATGTAGAGATGGAAGTTTTTTATGTTTCCCTGCAATTTAGCTGAAGCTTAGTTGGAATAGATGGAGACAGTCTATGAGTCATTAAAACCTGCCACCTATTTGATATTTAGACTTTGACTGTGCCGTTCTGACCCATTATTTGACCAATTTCATGAAAGCGCTGGCTGTTTTTTGAGGGTTGCTACCCTACCAAAGATGAATCTGCAAGCCAGTCTCAAATATTTTGCAATGTTGCTCTCTATTTAGCACCATTTATCTTCCCATCAACTCTGACCAAGTTCTCTTTTCCCCACAGCATGATACTGCCAACACCATTTCTTTATTAGTGGCATGTTCAGGGTGATGTACAATTTTAGATGCATCTGACCAAAGAGCTGACCTCAACATTTATTGTGATCCCTAGTTTCTGGTAAATTGCAGGATTTTTTTTTTTTTTGGCCTTTTCTTCTTGACTGAATTAGTGCTGTCCTCAAATAATAGTTGACTCTACTTAGAACAACTGGATTTATTCTGAGATAAAGCTGACAAAAAGTTTAAGGGATGAGAATGCTTTGCCAATCACACATCTGCTTTTACACAAGTTGTCAGAATCCATTAGCTGACTGCTGCTAATGACTATATGATACCCTAAAGTGAGCCATAAATGAAATTACTTTCTATGACTGAAAAAGAAGAAGCATAGAAATAAAACATGCAAACTTGTTTAACACATGTGTGAGCTGATGACATCCTTCTCCTCACCCTTTTTATATGTATGTACACCCTGCTGTCTGTGGACCAAAAATAGTCCTCTGCAGTGTGAACAAAGAAACTTTGGTTCATATAAAGTCTTTATGCAAAAAGTCACACAAATAAAGATAAGTATTTGTCACCTTTGCATGAATGTTTTCTAGAGAGTGATGAAGTGACAGTACTCGCTTCTGGTTGTCCAAAATCTTCCTCTCCTGCGCTGTGCACCTAAGAGGAGAGAAAATTTTAAATATTTAACCAAGATACACTTTGTCTTACTAAGGGAAAATATGTGACCAACTATAGAAACCAATAGCTCCAAGATAGAAAATACAAATAAATGCAAAAACATAAATTACTTTGTTTTGTCCAACTACAAATGACAAGAAATGTCATGTCACCGACATAAAACATTACTAAATTGCTTAAAATGTAGGTTTTGAATCACTAATATGTTCAGTAAAACTGGTTTCCATGAGGGGAGACTATGCTAATAAATAGAAGCAGGCTCATTTGTTATGAGTTGCTGGTATTTCACCCTTTGGCTATTCAGTACCTTTCTATCTTTGGAGCCATGTCCATCTGGACATCATGTGCTCGCTTTAGCAGCTAGGGATTTGGAGTATTTGTTTAATATTTAAATGCCATGACTCTTTTAAATGCTTTCTGACAGCAGTAGGTTGCTCAAAGTAACTGGTTTGATCAAGTGTCACAATCTGTCATATTTTAGAAAAGCTTGTATTATTTTTTTTCTCAAATAAATAATAAAAATGCTTATTGCAAAGAAATTTGATAAATGTCTTCAGCTCCGTGAACTATGACATAACTAATAACTAAAGTAAGATAGAATAAAAGTAGAGAAGAAAATTATTACTAGCACAAAAATGGAAGTAGGAAGCGTAAAAATGTTGCATTGATCCAAAGTCTTTTTCACAACTATTTTGATGAAGTTCACATTAGTTATTACTTAAGTATTTTCTTCAGTTTGTTCCCATGCAGTTTTTTTTTACAGTTTTCCTACAAGCACATTACATTTTCCATTTTTTTGTTATCTTTTGCCCCTCTGGGCTTCCGTGTTCCATGTCTGAATTGCAAATAAACTAAAATGACTTCAAAAGAAAGTGATGCAAAAGAATGTTTTACAACAACAAAGCAGTTTAAAATAGCTCCTCACAAAACAGCAATGAAACACAAACCAGTGACCAAAACTAAATATAAGCATCAAGTTCAGAAGGAAATTTCCATTTGTCATGCCAACAATCTTTCAGTCCTAATAATAATTATAGTTTACTTAGTCAGTGATTGACTGATGATTGTGTAATTAATTTGTTTCACCCACTGAGTTAAGACTGATTTAAACTTCCTAAGTGCATCATCAAGTCAGATGATGCTAGAGTTTGCTAGAGTTTTAAACCAATAAAACCAATAAAAGTTTCAGTACCTCCTCCAGCTCGAATGAGTTGACCTGCTGATGATTGCTGGAGAATTTGCCCAGTCCAGGATGGGTTAACGGGTTCAGGTACTGTCCCTCTCCCTCATTGAACAGCTCTGCAGGAGTCCGCTTTGATAAGGCAGGGGAAACATGGCAGGAGTTCATGGAGGTCGAGGACACATCCTCGTCTTCCAAGCCAGTCACTGTGATGCAGCAGTGAGTGTAGCTGTCTACAGGCTCGAGAACCAGAGGTGATCCAGGCCCATCCACCTGTAGGGTCTTTCTAGAAGATCCAAGGTGTAAGTCTTCATTAGGCTCAGAGGCAGGGGTTTGCACTGCAGGTGTATGTGATGGAGAACTTAGTCTGTCTCTACTTTCTGTCCCAGCAATATGAAGGAAGCGGTTTTGGTTTTGACAACAGAAAGAAGCCTGATGCACACGCTCAACAATTGGAGGGCAGATTAGATCATATGAAACTTTGGCAGCAGGAATCAGTTCATTTGTCGTTGTGTCCCTTTGTGTCAAACATGAGTCCAGCTCTGACTGATTCGTGGGAAGCAGAGTTTCTGTTTCTATCACAGTTTCTCTTGACAACGATGATGATAGAGATGTTCTTTCACAATATTCTTGTCTGACATTATCAGCATTATCTGCCTCTTCGTTGGCAGGGGTCTCCTCCTTGCAGATTTTATTCCCCTCCTGATAAGTGTTTTTGTCCTCTAAAGTCTGCTTCACTTGCTCTATATCTCTGCCATCTGATAGCAACCTAAAATCCTCACAAGATCCACACCTGTCATGTTCCCCCAAATCCAGCTTCTTAGCACTCCCAGTTCTGAATTTCAGCATTATATCCACCACGTCAGGAAGGCTGGATCTCTTTCTGGGTGAGGGCTGTGGAGAGGTGGAGTCCGACCCACGAGGCGAGCCGGTGTAGAGGCACATTTTGTTTACAGTGTCCTTCAGCCTCTCCACAGGAGAGCGAGGCTCGCTGCGAACACTGGTCCTAAACCTTTCAATCCTCTCCACAGGAGAGGAGAAGCTGAACTCTGGCGTGGCCAGCTTCTGGAGAGGAGTGCGGGACACATGGGAGTAGAGGGAATAGAAAGCATTGGCCATGGCTGTAAGCACTTGCACTTGTCTGAACCGACCTGTAAGAAGAATGAAATGCAAATAAACAGATGCAAACCACTTCACTTCTTCACACTTCTAGCAATGCAAGATCATTCCACTGACATATAAATAGAGAGAAGTAACGAATCCATACTGGCAAGTGAAAGGCTGGGGTCCTCCTCTCTTATTCGCCGGATCTGGGCGTCCAGGAACAGGCGGAAGTTGATGCCTTGAGCCTGAGAGGGGAAGGTGAAGAATCGAGGAGGGATGCGGACAGTGACCTGTGGTTCTTCACAGCCAAAACCCAGTTCGTATAGAGTCTCCTCTGCATCCTCTGAACACATCTGCAGAACCTCTGACACACTGACAGAAGACACACATTCAGGCGCATCTCAATAATTTCACATCAAACAATTTATTTCAGAAATAAATGTATTTTAAAAGTGAAGCTCATCTATATTGACACATAGATGTGTGCATTTATGGCTCTCAGAAAATTATAAAACTATTCAGGACCAGAAAAAGTGATATTCTGACCCTCACAATCAGAGGGAGAAGTGCTGACTTGATAATTTTCCAATTGACTATGCAAAGCTGTTTAAAAATAACCTGTTCTCAAACTTTAAGCTATAGTTAAGCATTACTATATTGACTATATTATTTTTGTCATTTGTGTGATCTAAAAACATAAAATGTCCAGATTAAACCAATTTCCAAACCTCACCTTGACACTGTTTTCCAAGTGGAAGAGGAAAAGCAGCTGGAGGCCATGCTGTGGCCCAGGTTCAGTGACGGCGGGCATAGTTTATGAAGAGGCGTACTAAAAAAACAAAAAACAAAACAATATCAAAAACATTGTTTTTTTTTTACAATATCTAAAACCGTTTAAAGTGGTCATATATGAGACAACTTATTCACTCCTTTCCAGGGGGAGCAACACCAAGAAAAGGTAGATTTTGAGTTTGAGAATCAAATAAACAACAAACCTGCTGCTGACCCTGCTGGGCTGTTTTGTGAAGGAACGATTTCTGGAAAAGCATTATGGAGAACAAAGAACAACAAATAAAAAATAATAAATCAAAAAATAGTACAGCAAATTCAGAAATTCAAATAGTTTTGGTACATTTCCAGAAAATTTACAGTAACAAACATTAAAAAGTAACTACATTAGTTTTGCGAGACATGTAGAAAAGAGTTGAACCAGTGGACAGTTTCTACTTACCGACAGTTAGTTGTAGTTTCTCCAAAGTTTATGACTGAGTCAGCTGAGGAAAGAAATATTAAGCCTTAATTTCTGCTGTTGACAATAAGAAACTACTTTAGTGTGACAATAAAGAAATTAGCAATTTAGTATCTGTAATATGAATTTCACAGAACAAATCTGAAGAGAAAACATCTAATTCATTACTTCATTTTAAGATTTAAATGTTGCTCGTATAACTTCAACCATTAGTTTTCTGGGTTGTTTTCCATCCAGTCGAGAATTGCACCTGTTTTTTATTTTGCTGATCTACAAAAATGTAGCAACTTCACTGCTTATCTTTGTGGTTTAGTTCTAATTTGGCATAAATGTTCAATTATCTCTCTGAAATAACCATTGCATAATGCCCAGATTGCAACAACATGCAGTATTCCGACAAGGAGGTAAAAAATACTTGAGACAAGCTTTTCTTTTTTACATGTGAAAAGTTCTGACAACTGATCTATGAGGAGAGTTTAAAAATAACCATAACCAAACAATACCCGATTTGCTTATTTAAAACTTTTGCTGACTCACTACTTCCTGTTACCCGTCTGTATGTGCAAATTTAGGTTGACAGTGAAGCCATATTTTAGATAATCAAATTAAATGGAGATGGCCATGAATATTGCCCTTTGAAGACATAGAAGACATTTTGTGGTGTGAGTGTTTGCATGTTTGAGTTCATATCTGATCGTACCATCAGCTCCAAGGCTCAGGTCGTCACAAAAGGCTTTGGCTTGCAGTGCAGACTCTTAAAAAGCAATCAGATATGGAAATGTTACACATTTATGTTTTAAATTAGACATTGTCCAAATTATGCCGATAATAAACTAAGGGTTTCAAACTTACACATTTAAAGCTTTTGCATTTATTTATTTATTTATTTCAACTTCACCAGTTGAACCAGATTTTAGCTCATCGCAATAAGCATGATACAGAAAAGCCGAAATAACCCGTTTTGAGAAGCAATTTCCTCAATATGCTGAATAAGGAAAATCAGAAGACTTCTAACCAAACTTTTTCTGGATATTATCAAGTAAAATGCTTTGATTACGTTAAACAGCATTTTTAATTGTGGAGGCTAAAGGTGGTTTTAGGTAAAATCCCCACATGAAAATAAGAAATATGTGGTGTTGTACTGAGTGTCATATAATTCAATTGATTCTGCTCTTGTTTCAACATTTTCTCATGCAGCCTAATGGTAAGGTGTTCATGGTAAGGTGTGTGTCTCACCGAAACTTAGCCGGCTGCTGTTCTCTAAGCGGACATCAGATCTGCAAGACACGTTAGTTTTAAACACAGATGCACCAACACATTCGTTACATTTGCATGTATCTATCAAACATGGTGCTGTGTTTGCATGTCTGGTTTCATATGAATAAAGGATAGCAGGCAATGTTACAGTGTAAGTTTGTTCCACTCTTTATAATCAGCAGGCTGCTGAAGTCTTGCAACTTCCTCTAGTAGAGAAATATTAACATTCAAGTTAAAGCCAAGCAAATCTACTCATTTTCATTTTCACTTCTGAGAATACATTCAGGCACCAGCCATTCCTCTAAATGCTCTCAGCAGGGGAGTAAAAGCCCATTTAGATGGTGATTTACTGTCATCTGGGGTGTTTCTGCATTCCGTAAGTGCTTCTCTCTCAGTGACTGACATTAAACCATAAAGTATTGTTTCTTCTTTCTACAGTCTGTTTCATAAAAAAAGAAGAAGAAAGCTATTTCCTATACCTCAAGGTAATTTCAGAAACGTCAAAGAGTTGAAGTTTTACTCATGAGTTATGTTTGTACTGTGAACTTTTACATCCTTTAAATCATGACTCACCTATAAAAGAAAGAGCTGTAAAAGAAAAATCAAACTCAAAAGAGAAGGTCACCTCAGCGATTTCAGTTTGTGGTTGATTGAAAGCTTATTTTTCTTTTTCTCTTTTTCCAGTGGAACTGTAAGAATGCAGCACCTCAGGCTACTGCAGCAGAAAAAAAAACTTCTGTGGTGCACCTTGCTGCACCACCTGACTTCAGAGAGAGTTTCCACTCTCTGCATTCTGTTGTTTGCTGTACTTTCCATTGATATACATCTTACCAGCTGGAAAATGTGAAAGTCAGCAGTTATGAAATTATCAAAAAAACAAAAAACAGGTTAACTCACCCACAACCAAGAAGCCAGTTCTCAATCTTTCCACTGAAGCTGGCTGTGAAAATGACACATACGAGTACTCAGATTAAGTAAACATGTTCTTCTTTGACATCTCTGATCACAGGGAACCAATTTCTTTTTCTGTCTAGAAAAGTTAAAAACTGATAAAATAAAATACAGTGGGTAAAGTACTTAAAGAGTTGTGTTTGCTCTCACCATCAGAAAAAACATCGTCATCTGCTATGGAGGCCGAGGCTGCGAGGTTACACAGCGGACCCTCCATGTCCTCCACTGTCGGCCATTGTCGGCTGCTGTTGATCCAGGCTCGCCGCCTAACGGTGGACGATGACCTATCCATCACTTCAATTCATATGCTGCAGGACATAATGGGTTCAAAAGCTCTGGAAAAAAAAAGTCAAAAGTAATTCAAGATTTTTATTGTTTGATTTATGAGGTTGATGATATTTTTGATATTTTAAGACCATTTCCAAAAGATATTTAAAAATCTGTTTTCATTTTTCTATATAAGCAAACACATTCTCAGAAAAACTGAGAAGATTGTCAAAACATGTTTTAATGTGTGACATGTTAATTTGTTTGAATTTTTATAGTCGAAGCCAAAAAAAGGGTATTGGATTTTATTCACCAGTACAGATCAAATACCGGCAAAATGGGTTTTTGCATATACAGTTGATCTTAACTGCTAAGAACTGCTCAGAATGACAAAACTGTGCATAAAACAAGAATCCACCATATGTTTGGTATTTCGAGGTATAGACTGATTGTGGCTCATCTCATTGCTCCAACTCAGAAGAAAATCATAGATTCAAAAACAATTTTACATATCAAATTTACTTAAAATGTGTCTTTCACCATCTAAAGAGTATAATCAAGTCTTCAAGTCATGAAGTCACAGCTGCATGAAAATGTTTGACAACAAAGATTCAGTGGCAACTAAGACAAACTTTATTATTAAAAACTGGCCAACTCTGGCACCTAGAAGCTAAATTTTATATCATATTTGGGGGTGGAGAAGGTACATAATGTCAATCAAGTTTCAAGCAAAAGAGAATCTCAGAAATAAAAAGATATGTTCTGTGCTCAGAAAGGTCCAGCAACAGCTGTGTTTGTGCAAAGAAAAGAACATGAGGACATAAGACCTGAAATGAATGCTAGTAATGGTGTAATGGTTGAATCAGTTGCCATGAGATCCTTGAATGAGTGAGTAGTTATGACTTTTCCAAAGCTGACAGGCATGTGCCAGTTACCGGTATCAAAGTAATCCAAAGTTTCAAGTTATGGTTATAAAACTGCTACATTTTTGCGTAGGAGAAAGTTTATTCCATTACTTTTTTAAAAATATGTTTAAATATATAAACTTTCTTAACAATAGTGAAGCTTGCTAGGGGAAACAATTTTTCTGCTAGGTTTAACTTGTTTTCTTGTATTTTCAAAAGCTTCCCCATTTTTTCAGCGGAAATGTGGCATGACTTGGCAGCCCACACAACTGAAATCCTCTTCCACAGCATTTGAATATGGATGTTGTGTTGTAAGATTTCAGAAGGAGTAGAACTGTTAATAGATTGTACAGTTGTATGCCACTTCCAATATATATATATATATATATATATATATATATATATATATATATATATATATATATATATATATATATATATATATATATTATATATATATATATATATATATATATATATATATATATATATATATATATATATATATATATAAACAAAACAGCGAAAGCGTCTCTGCACCGGTAAAATAACAATATTGCAGATCAGGACAAACCTTATACAAAATTGAAATAAAAATATTCTCATGAAGAGACTGTGATATCATATTATCATAAACCTTATTTCTTCCCAAAATTGTACTGATTAGTCTCTTCCAAACTTAAGACAGTTCAAATTAAACTATAATAATAAAGAAGAATGTGCCTGAAAACAAAACTATTCCAGTCCGGGCAACATTGTAGAGAAAATGATTTGACTTACTGTGTGGTTATACTGCAGTATTACTAGTGCAAGCACAGAAGCCATTAATGGTAAAATCATCATAGATAATTTCACCGAGGTTTATGGCAAACCTTAATAAAAATTAAAAAAAAAAACTTAAAAGATTGACCTTGATATAAATAGATATATTCGACTTTCGGAAGGTGTTTTCTAGAATGTCAAGAGTGCAGATCAAATGTGAAAGTAGAGACATCTACAACAACAAGTTGAGTTCAAATACATTTACTTTTCTGCACTAAGCAGCGAATAAACTTTCAAAAGAGACGAGAGTTTTTACCTTCATGCACGCTGCAGGTTTCAGTTCTGTAAGCGGCGCACTTTCTCTGGTTTCCTGTTGGACCGGACTCACTGAGGCAGATAGCATGGGCGCCTCCATCCGCAGTCTTTAAGCGCTCTGTTAGAAGAGCCTCCGCTCAGCGCGCCTGCCTCTATCACAGATGGGCCCAGAGATAAATAGCCGGGGTTTGAGCTGATTTCCAGCGAAGCCTGTCCTCTGCTCAGCGCGGACAGATCGGATCATTGCTTGGCCGCGGCGCGTCTGAGGAAGTGAGTTTGCGTCTCATCTGACAGACTGAAGTTATCAGCGTGGCGTGGGACGCAGCTGCAGCACATCCTGCATGAAACAAGCGTTCACCCTGACAGGTTGCTGGAAATGTCAGGGGTAATGCTGTCAGTACAACACGATGTTTGTTTGTTTTTTTTTTTTTTATTGCCTGCTTTACAAATCAGGGAAATGTAAGTTTAGTTTCCGCAAAGTAACTGTGTGGCATTATTTGATTTTTATATGGGAGTTTCCACATTACAGTAATGCATTAAGCATCCTCTAGACAAGGACGGAGAGCTTTGTGTCAGATTTAAACAACTGACTGCGGTTAAAATGATATATTTCCACTTTTGGTATTAGTCAGACCACAATGAATAACTTTGGTATCACCTTCCCGAAAATGCAAAGATTTTTTGTTTTGTTTTTTCTCGTACAAAATAATGATTTTGTCTGTTTTGAGCTAAACCTGAACTGGAGTTTCTGTTTCTGGAACATATTGACCTGCATAGGAGTTTTTACTGCACCATACTTTTAATTTCTAACTATTTTGGTATTATTTTTGAAGTATGACTGCTCTTACTTGAGAACTTCAGTGAGTGAAGTAGCCTACATGCATATTTTAACCAAAAATGCATCAGACACTTTTACAGTTTAAGTCAAAGTTAGACTTCTTGTGTAACTGTCAACAAGTCAACAAGTGTTGCAATTCTAATATTTGTATCTGTTAAGCCTTATGTGTCAATTAGAGGTCAAGGGAATATAGGCATTTGTGTAACATTACAATACAATACATTACTTACTGTAAGTATTGGTTTTAAAGGCCTTGTGAAAGAAAATAATCTGTAAATGTATTTCTTCTGTCTGAATTTGTTATCTGGTAATGACATTTACTTGAGTACTTTTTTGAGGCTATTAATAAAAAGTTATTCAACTTAACTGTAGCTTTTTTGTATTCTAACAAAACTTACACCATGAGTTAATCACATGCCAAATATTTTTTTATGTGTATTTTTATTATTCTTTGCCCCATAACACTTTAAATTCATAATTATTATCTCCAAGGCAGGGAAGCCGTTTCTTCCCTGCAAGTAATTTATGGCTCATGTCATATATCCACTTGATGAATGCTTGTGGTTTGGTTCCTCTGTGCCTAATTGGGTCATGTCTGGTTCTCTAGAGAGCTTGCTGGCTCTCCCCTGTTGCACTCCGTTCTTATAGTTTCTGCTATGTGGGTTGCTCCAGTGTTGTTTGCATTCAGCCACAGCCTGCTAGTGGCTTCCTCTGCCTACTTTCTGAGTGATTTTTGGTCACAAGCTTTGATCTGCTTGAACTTCTGACTCTAAGTCTAGACAGAATACCCCAACGAAGCCGTAATATTTTGACTGAAAATCCCCCTGCAGGCATTCATGGATGAGACTCTGCGCATCTCGAGTTTCTTCCTGACCTCCACTATGTTCTTGTTCAGTTGTGCAGGTGCAATGAGAGCCACATTTTGTTGCTCTGGATAACAAAACATTTGTATAAAATTTTCAGGGTAGCACCAAAATAGCTAATTATTAAAGCTGTTAGCTGCAGTTGGTCTGTGTATATTAAAATTTTTCTTGAACTAGAAGGTGTTACCAACATGTATTTTTAAACATATGTTTGTATAAGCTTTGACTTAAACATGCTTTATTTTTAATTATTTTTTCTCCAAACATGAAAGGGCAGCTGGAACTAGGATGTTGGAGAGTCTAAGAGTTTTTACGCTGCAACAATGATTGAGACTCACAACTAATATCCAGACAAAGACTTTACAAAACTTGTGGCACACCTAGAAACTGAGACTTACTGTATTATGGATTACAACATCACTTTAAACTGTGGTATGTACAAATTATGATGATGCATGAATTTCCTGGCACTGATTAATGTTTACTTTATTAGACTACATTCTGAATTGTTACAGAGTTAGACATTTGTATTTACAACCATTCTGTTATAAGCAGCCGCCTGTAATGCCTCTGGATGACTTCAGACATACCGGGGTGGGTCCAACTTGGACTGAGACTCTCTCCACCCTCTGTTATGTTTACATGGGCACATGTGCTGCTTCACTGACATCCCTCTCATAGTGATAAAAGCCCTCCCACCACAGGACAATGTTCCACTCCCAGTGCGGCTTCAGCCAGTGTGTGTGAGCATGATACGGGGGTTCATCTCCTCCTCAACGGGTGACTCCTCCCGCCACTTCACTGTTTAGCGACCCACCGGCCTCCGCCAGGGAGTGGCCAGCAGCCACGGAGGCAAGACTCAGACAACCAGTCCGCCCTCCTTTTTCCCCACCTCCGTGTTCAAGGCTCCAGATGTGCCTCAGTAAAAAATATATTATTTTGTATGATAATATTGGCTTTCATCGAGAAAGGAACTTGTCTGTATTTACTTAGATTATTTGCTGGTGACGCTGTTTATGGGAAAAACAGATAACCAAACGTCAATCATGTTCAGGAGCGCAACCTACCATGCTTCATCCCGCCCAGTCAACTGTACGTTCCTTCATCTCATTGGTTGATTTGCTGGCATAGGCGGGTCCACGCGCTTCAATTCGGTATGAAACGTGTCATTTAAAAGGAAGTTAGAAAGAGGTGCGCTTCTTTTATAATTAGTGATAGCTCAAGTAACATTCAATCAAAAATAAAAAATAAAAAAATAATAATAAAACAACTAATAAAAGATTTGCAGGGTGTTTAGCACATATTTTATCGCTCTGATATGCAATTCCATGAAGAAAAGACCACACTCTGCAAAAATGTCTGATTTTCTTTTTGTTCATTTAAATGTTTCAGATCACAAAATACATTTTAATAGACAAAAATATGGTTGGGGTCACTAATTTCATTGATTAATTGAAAAATACATCCAAACTAACTTTGTTTAATGTGTAAAACAACAATCGATAATGTTTTCTTTCTTCTTTTTCTTTTTTTTTTTTTTTACATTGCTGTGGGGAAAATATGTTCCACTCTTTTGGCACTGATTTAAATAAAACTACATTAGAAGGTTTTTCAGAATGAATGTCCAAAGTCAGAGTTGGAGTTGGTGGTTCTTTGGCTCATTGACCTGCTGAAAAATACTTTGCTTTTGGGGTTAGGTTCAGAAAGAAATGACTGGACTACGTCAGGATACAGCCGCTAAACATTGACACAATTTTCCTATCAGTTCCAAATTCAACTGTTGGTATAATGTTTTTTCTAAAATATTGTGGTAGGCTTTTTATACCAGATATATCAAGATAAAAACCTTCTAAAAACATGATGCTTCTGTCTCTGCAGTTATCGGAATGTTTTCCAATAAATCTTGAATATCATTAAGATCTTTTCTTGGCAAATGAGTTTCAGCCTGTGTGTTATTTTTGGTCAGTAGTCTTTCTGGCCTTTGGTGCCATTTTTTGTCCAGACTTTGTTGTTAATGAATTGTGTATATTAACTGAGTGGGTCTTTCAGTGCTTCAAATTTTAATGTAAATTCAATAGTGGTAAAGATGTTACACCGATTTAACTTCATGTCACACTGAATAATCAAATATTTTGGGGAAGTTTTTATTTTTGGATGGGATGTTTTGCATTAGTGAGTTTGTAAATCCATTTATTTATTTCTCTATTTATTTCCAATTTTGACATTATCAGTCCTCCATAAATTGATACATAATGAATTATATTCTGAGGTCTTTTACATTACTTCATGTAATTACACAAATGTTATTTAAGCTATTACTTCATTTTGCAGCAGTGTCTCAAAAATGTTGTTAAAATTCAACTCACTTTCTCAAAAAGATGTTATTTACAAACTTTATATGTGTGTAATTCTTTGAAACAAGCAGCGTTTTCATTCACCATTTCATCTCTTTATGGTTAAATGACAAAAATGAAAACCAGACTAAACCTACATCAACAGATACTGGAAAGGGGTTAGTGAGTTTGTTCCAGCAACCTGGTGGTGAATAAATTGAACGCACCATCGTTCCTTCTTGAAAGGGAAGGGGGAGGCGTTAAGTTTGTGTGAAGTTGTAAAAAGTTGTCAAGCCGAAAAAGAGCAAAGAAACTCCTCCCGTCTTCAAATTATGAGCAGTAAGTGAACTTTTAAAAACTCGGTGACCTAGTTAGGAGAGCACATATATATCAGCACTATCAAGTAAAGGCAGAGCGCAGTCTTTTACTCAGATTTAATACGACATCGTTTTGTTATCGATCGGACGTTGGAAGCATTTTAAAAGTGAGAAACTGACGCTTATTTATAGCTACTTGTTGGATACACCACTAACATTTATTTAAAGAAACATATTCATTTTCACACTGCGTAGTTATGGGTTCGTTTTACATTTTTTATTTCAATATAGACAACTTGTTGTGTTTTACCGAGCAGTTGGAGCTGTGTCGGTCACTTTAGCTAATGCCTAGCGAGTTTTCTACACATTACTTAGCTAATCAGCTAGCTGGCAGTGTAAGTAACCCGACGTAGGTTTCCTTCCTCTGACCCCCACAAAACAAGTCCAAACCTCACAAAAGTCGCTTTATTTGAGGGTATTTGATTGAGTTTATACTTTGTAGCTAAATGTTACTCAGTTTGTGCATTTGCCGCTTAAGAAGTCGGTGATCTTCCAACTCTTCTTCCGCAGATCAGCAGCAGCAGGGTGAAATGGCCGCTGTGGAGAGCGGTGGAGGATTCAGTCAGAAGCGAAACACAAACTCACAAGTAGGTTAACCTGTCACACAAACCTGCACTGTGGCAAAATTGCACGACTTTCTCTTTGATTGTGTTGTTGGAGTGATTCTGTGATCGGTCTGTGTTTGAAACTGTGCGGGATGTTGATTTTTCTCCCCGGAGCACATGTCACCGGGGTGGGGAATGGGCAGGTAAATTTCGCCCACACGGGGTGTTCCCGTCTTAGCCGGGCACTTCGTGTGCGTTTCGCTCGGCCCATTTGGCTGGCCAAGGAGGGGGTGGCTAGAGGAGTGTGCTAGTTTATAGGGCAGAATAAAGTGTGGGAGGGCAATGGGTGGGTTTGGGGGGAGGGGAAGCCGAGCCCGCCGCCGTTCCTGAAAAATGTGGTCCCTCCCAAACTCAGCCCCCCATATTTTCTCTCTGAAGACCAACTACACCAGAAGTGCTACATTGTAATATAGGTAGCATGAAAGTGATTTTAATGCAATGTTTGTGTGGCTTTGCACACACAAAGCAAGCCACACATATCATCATTGTGGTAAATTTAAAAGTCAAATACCTTCTTCCTAACAAGTTTAGATTTGGGTCTTAACTTTGAAACTGATCCTGCTTATACTGTCAAATCTACTTTAAACATTTAGTCTTACATAAATGCCTTATATATTTATTGAAAAAATTCTGCTTGAGATAATAGTTTTGTTTGATATTTAAGTCTCTGTTTTTTTCTCATCTTACTTTGCCCATGATCTGCTGTGAATTTGTCTATTTAAACAAATATTCTACATTTTTGCAAAGATAGTATACCATACCATTCTATGTGTATTTTTTATGTGTACAGGCTCCAAATGTCCAGAATAGGAGATTTCTATGAGCATTTAGATTTTATGAAAGATGCATCAGGATGTGTAGGATGAAATCTCATCTGATTAATGTAAAAAAATTTACTATTAAAATTTCTTAGCTCTAATTCCTGTAAAATGTGCCGTTTTGTTTTTCTTTGAAACCAAAATTCAAAGTTAACATCTGCAATTTCAGTTCATATCTTGATGTCCAACTCTGATGTTGGCTGCATGTTCTACTCCGTCGCTATTTTAATCTTTCCTCTCATTAGGTGTTTTTTATTGAAAAACACAAAAAAAGCAAATTTTGAAGTAATTCTGGTAATTTCGGTGGTACTGTATGTTTGTTATAATGTAACACTCTACTATACAGGTACCCAAGCCATTTAAATATTTGTACTTTATTCTTTTGGCAGGACTCACAGCAGCCGTCTCCTCTGGCCCTGTTGGCCGCTACGTGCAGTCGAATCGACACCCCTGGAGAGAACAACTCTTCAGCCGAGCAGCAACAAAATAATCAGCAGCAGCTGGAAATAAATCAGGGCATCTTTACCTCCACTGCCAACGGTTGGCAGGTTGTTCCCCTCAATGTTCAGGCATCCTCAGGCTCCAACACTATCACCACTGACTCGTCAGGGGTGATGGCCGGAGGAGACAACTGCAAGAGCAGACAGGTGCTGTCAACATCAGCGGCAGCTGTGAGCACTCAGGGTCAGCAGCAACAGCAGTACGTAGTAGCCCAAGCTCCATCAGTCCCAGGTCAGCAGTTGCTTACCACTATATCAGGCATGATGCCCAACATACAGTACCAAGTTATACCGCAGTTCCAGACAGTAGACGGTCAGCCATTACATTTTGCACATGCTCAGCAGGACCCGGCTGTATCTGCCGCAGCAGCACAAGGGCAGCAGTTTCAGATTGTGTCCTCTCCCAGTGGCCAGCAGATCATAGCTGCGACCAACAGAGCTGGCGCCGCTGGGAACATCATAACCATGCCCAGCGTCCTTCAGGGAGCAATCCCCATACAAAATATAAGCTTAGGCAATGGTGTGTTGCAAAACCAGGCCCAGTTCCTGGCAAACATGCCACTGTCTCTGAATGGAAACATCACGTTGTTGCCTGTTGCTACGGGTGCAGCGGGGGGAGATGTTAACGGTAGCGGAGAGGCTGGAGGCAATCAGCAGCAACCAGCTTCTTCTAGCAGTGTGACAGGGTATATGACCACCGCATCCACTGCCACAACGCAGACCTCATCCTCTTACGGTGCCACCCAAACACAGAAGAGTAACGGCTCGGCGACGGGCACGTTCCAGCAGAACGTCCCCATTCAGCCAGACAACAGAGACGGCCAGCAGCCGCAACAAATCCTCATCCAGCCTCAACAGGTCATCCAGGGTGGAGCGCCTCTTCAGGCCATTCAGGCCACAGCAGGCGGTCCGGTGTTTGCAACACCAACACTCAGTCAAGAGGGGCTTCAAAATCTTCAAATTATGCCAAACACGGGGCCCATCCTCTTGCGCACAGTGGGCCCTAATGGCCAGGTCAGCTGGCAGACCATTCAGATCCAGAGTCCAACAGGGACACAGATAACTCTTGCCCCAGTGCAGTCCCTGCCCCAGCTGGGGCAGAATCAGGGGGCGGCTGGTGCAGCAGGAATCCCGGTCAACGCGGTGCAGATCCCGAGCCTTCAGACCATCAACCTTAACACACTGGGCAGCACTGGGCTGCAGATGCATCAACTGCCGGGAGTTCCCATCCCCATCACCAGCACAACAGGTCTGTCATTTACCAGCAACAGCTGGGATAGTTTATAAAAGTTTTTAGTACTAATTCTGTAAATAATATTTGTTTGTTTCATTTCTGTGATTCATTAAAACATTTTCAGGAAATTTTTGATAATTTTGTTCCCAACTATCATGTCAACACCTTGCTGAAATAATGGGCTATGTTAACATAGCATCAGCAGCAGCTGTGAGCACTTAGACTCCGTTAAGTCTGGTCAAAATCACCCCCTCTTTTTTGAAAACAGCTCCTGCATTTCCTGATCCAGTGCTGAAATCTGGTTGAACCAGTTTAGCCGTTAGTGTTCATGTGAAACTTTAACCACACTGAATGATGCCATCAGGTTTTTTTTCCCTACTACTTCCTTTCACATTTTAATATTTTACTTGTAGTTGTGGTTTGACCACAACAGAAGGGTTTTTAGCAAGGCTGCAGCTTCACTACTGATGATTTAGTTTAAACCATAAGCAACCAGAGCTGGAAATAATCAAATGTTTGCATAATGGTGAAAGTGAACAGGGTGTGCAGCATTAAAATTTTTTTTTTACTAAGAATTAAGTTGCTGCAATGTTATTGTTTTATATCTTTTTGTATAAAACAAAAATATACATTTCCTTTTGACTTTCAAGGAAATGTTAAAAATAGTTTTCAAGAATTTTTTTATCATAATAATCGCTGCACCAAAGAACATAAAAAAAGGAAGATGTTTTTAAAAGTTGATAAATTATTTGCATTTAGGCTGGAAGGTTTCATAACTTTACCCCTGTATTATTTCTTCTCAATTATTACAGGGGACCAGGTGTTGCAGACAGGCGGAGACGGTTTGGATGACGGCGCACCTGTGGAGGACGAGGATTTAAGCCCTCAACCTCAGGGACGACGAAATCGAAGAGAAGCTTGCACCTGTCCAATGTGCAAAGATGGAGAGCCACGGTACGTCACCGATCTGTATGGCCGGTGTCCTGGGTAAATGTGTTAACACAATAATGAAATGTATAAAAGTGTTTCACTCCTTTGAGTAAGTTTTATTTCATTACAGTTTAGTGTTTAGCTTTCAAAATTTAGTGCAAAGGATTTGGCGACATCAAGTGGTCATGTTACATATGGTGGAAATGTGATTATAAGAGGGGCAAATTTTGTTACTAATCCTGGGAGACGACGAGGTAAATTTCCTGGAGCTTTTTGGACTTTTGCAAAATTTGAGATTATTTCTAAACCTCAGATAAATTGATGACAGGTTTAATGCAGAATTAATTCTGCTGCATATTTAATTAAAATGCAATAGCAATGCAACAAATGAAAAAATTAATAATCCTTCCGGTTTATTTTTGCGTACCCTAGATAATTGTATGCGTAGATGCAGTCTTCACCTTGAAACGTGGATATTTTGTTGCAGAGTTTTCACTTTAGTGGGTTATGCAAACCTCCAAATATCAGATCAGGTTAAATCTTATTTTCGGGGTTAAAAATTAACCCCTAAATATTTTTGACTTTGTACAGTGACCCAAATAAGAAGAAGCAGCACATCTGTCACATCAGTGGCTGTGGGAAGATCTACGGCAAGACGTCCCACCTTAGAGCCCATCTGCGTTGGCACACGGGAGAACGCCCCTTCGTTTGCAGTTGGTCTTTTTGTGGCAAACGATTCACGCGTTCAGATGAGCTTCAGCGCCATAAGAGGACACACACAGGTAAGGAGTTCAGTGTCCAAGCTAGGGACTACAATCAAATGACTGAGCACAATTTCTAGGATTGTCTAATTGCACAGACATCAGCATATACCCCTCTAACTTATTTTCCACCTCTTACTTTCAGGAGAGAAAAAGTTTGCATGCCACGAATGTCCCAAACGCTTCATGCGCAGCGACCACCTCTCCAAGCACATCAAGACCCACCTGAACAAGAAAGTACCCGTCACAGGCAACAACATCGCCGTGTCCTCCGACGCGGCTTCTCCGTCGGCGGGAACAGAATGCAGCGCAGGAGCCGGCTCAAACAATGACCAGCACACCATTGTCACCATGGAAACCTTATCTGCAGAAAGCCTTGCTCGGTTAGCCAGCAGTGGCATCAACATGATGCAGGTGGACCTTCACCAGCTCAATGGCAACAGTTACTAGTGACGCTGAACCATGAATTTGGACACAAGGGTGGGACTGGGGGGGTCAAAGGGCATGTTTCATCAGAAACAGAACCTCTCGGAGATGTCGGTCTGAAGGGGGTTCTCCGATGCTAATAATTTGTATAACTAAGACAGAAATTTGATTTACATTCTTGTATGTAGAGGCTTGTGGTATTTAGGTTTCTGAGGTGGACAGCTGGGATTAAAATCTCAATCTACAGAAATCACTGTGAAATCCTATTTCCTCTGAAGGGAAATGGTTTTACACCAACATCTGCAGCCTTATGTGGTGTAAGGCTGCAACAAAAAACACAGGTCAGCACGCGCCATGATGTCGCTGGAATTCTGTTGAGGTTCTTCAATGAAGAGATGACACTAAGATCGTTTTCTCTCACTGTTTCAAGCTTTGCCCCATTTTTCTTCTACACCTCAGAGGTTTCCTGATCGACAGGCCCAGAGTGATGTTTCATGTCCCTCAGGCTAACCGACATCATCTCAAAATGAAACGTCTACAAATAATGAAAACGTCTTGCAAATTTTCATTTTGTTGAAGCCAGAAGCACAAACGTGTTTGTCATGAAATTCTTAAAATAACTCTTTAACGTCTTTTGTGAAAACATTCAAGCCATCATGCTTTATTGTCAGGATAGAAGCAAAGCAGATTTTCTTTGTATATATACTTTTTTTTTAGTAAACATTACAGAAAATTCTTAGCACAAACAAGAATATATAACATGGTTGCAGGTGATTGTCTTTCTGTTGTCTGTTCATCTTATGCACAATCAATCTTAATCTTATTTTTATATATGTAGATTAAATTTGTAAACTTCAAAGCTTTTCATATAATGTTATAAGATCCAGATCTTCCGGTCTCTTTTCCATCTTTTATCTTCCTCACAGCCATGTCAGTGGTTCGTTTTTCCCTCTTTGGTTAATAGTTTTCAAGTTTTGCAATAATGTCAAATACTAAATTTACAAGCTCCAGACCAAAGGTTTATGCTCCTTTTTATGAAAACTACTTTGGGAATCTTTCTTTGGTCCACAAGCTTTCTAAAAGTACTCACCTAGTGATGCAAATGCCAAAATTATAACTGGAAAACATCTAGTAAGGCTGACTGTGTGTACTCTTCCTTTACTTGTCCAAACAAGTAGCAAAAGGCATTGTCAGAATGTATTTGCCTAAGTTGTTTTTCTTCATAATTATGCTCTGTATGAATTGTAACCTGTGCAATGCATGTTTAAAACTTCAACTCATTGGACAGCAAGTGCTCTTACCTCCTTTCCCCCCGTCCCCCCGTTTTTAAATAAGGGATTTTTTATGTTATACATGTTTATATAACTACTGCAAATGCCAACAGCTGGATTAAAAGGACATCTTTCTAATCTCTTTGCAAACATGTCTTTAGCTTTATTCACAATACACAAAGGACAGCAAAAACTTGGTTAAATTTATTTTAAAAAAATTCAAAAAAGAAAAACTTCGTAAGATGCAATAAACGTCCACCCAGAGTTAAAATGACATCTCCACTTTCTCCTCGTCCTTCAGTTTTTTATGGAGACTGCAAGGACAAAACAAAAAATACAGGAAATATTTAGTCATTCCAACTGGTTAACAGCATAATTAGGTTGCAGGAGTCTGAATCTCACCTGCTGAGGTAGGAGTGGACGTCAGAGAAGCCATGGTACTGAGCAGCTGGATTAAAAGGACATCTTTCTAATCTCTTTGCAAACATGTCTTTAGCTTTATTCACAATACACAAAGGACAGCAAAAACTTGGTTAAATTTATTTTAAAAAAATTAAAAAAAAAGAAAAACTTCGTAAGATGCAATAAACGTCCACCCAGAGTTAAAATGACATCTCCACTTTCTCCTCGTCCTTCAGTTTTTTATGGAGACTGCAAGGACAAAACAAAAAATACAGGAAATATTTAGTCATTCCAACTGGTTAACAGCATAATTAGGTTGCAGGAGTCTGAATCTCACCTGCTGAGGTAGGAGTGGACGTCAGAGAAGCCATGGTACTGAGCAGCTGGATTAAAAGGACATCTTTCTAATCTCTTTGCAAACATGTCTTTAGCTTTATTCACAATACACAAAGGACAGCAAAAACTTGGTTAAATTTATTTTAAAAAAATTCAAAAAAAGAAAAACTTCGTAAGATGCAATAAACGTCCACCCAGAGTTAAAATGACATCTCCACTTTCCCTCGTCCTTCAGTTTTTTATGGAGACTGCAAGGACAAAACAAATACAGGAAATATTTAGTCATTCCAACTGGTTAACAGCATAATTAGGTTGCAGGAGTCTGAATCTCACCTGCTGAGGTAGGAGTGGACGTCAGAGAAGCCATGGTACTGAGCAGCTGGATTAAAAGGACATCTTTCTAATCTCTTTGCAAACATGTCTTTAGCTTTATTCACAATACACAAAGGACAGCAAAAACTTGGTTAAATTTATTTTAAAAAAATTCAAAAAAAAGAAAAACTTAGTAAGATGCAATAAACGTCCACCCAGAGTTAAAATGACATCTCCACTTTCTCCTCGTCCTTCAGTTTTTTATGGAGACTGCAAGGACAAAACAAAAAATACAGGAAATATTTAGTCATTCCAACTGGTTAACAGCATAATTAGGTTGCAGGAGTCTGAATCTCACCTGCTGAGGTAGGAGTGGACGTTAGAGAAGCCATGGTACTGAGCCAGAGGGAACAGGATGCCAGTAGGGCATCGGCCCTCACGCTGGCGGCAGAAACTACAGTTGCAAATGTTGCGGCAAGGGGGGCACTTCCAGTCCTGAGGAGAGGCCGCAAAGTTTAGGAGGATAAGTGATACAAACTAAAAATAAACATTGTGATTACATACTGCTGTTTACTTAAGCCTTGCCTGTATTTTGTAATATGGTATATTCTCAGTAATTTGTAAAGTGATACACAGGCCATGTGGGTAATTTACAGTCCTGTAAAGGGAGGATGTAATCTGAATTTTGGATACCCGTTTATCCAGAAAATGCCCTTCAGGATTTTTCTCTACTTTGCTTCAGTCATTGTACCTTCACAAGCCTTCCGGGGCCTCCTGCTGAGAAGCATTCCCACAGCATGATCCTGCCCCCACCATGCTTGTGATGATGTTTCTGTGTTTTGATATTCACCAAACAGAAGTTTCTTATCCAATAGCCAAAAACACCATTTGAATTTTAGCTACATTAACTACATAAAATTATTTTTCTATCCAAATTATTTTTCTAATTAAAAAAAATAGCCTAAAGCACTAAGTGAGCTGAAATGTATTTGCAGAAAATAGATTCAAATTAAAAATAAAAATCTAAATTAAAGAATTGTTTTTTTTAACCTTTTTGATACCATAATAAGGATTAGAGTTGGACTACACTACCCCCTTTACTTTTTTCATAATATCTAAAACCTAGAATTTAAAATATAAGCTAATGAGAACAGGAAGCCTTCTAGAACAAGATGTCCTAAAACAAATAAGCAGAAAGTCTTACATTTCAATGTGAAGTTACACAAATGCAAAGACTAGGAGAATCACACAAAACACACATCACTGAAACCTCCTCCAAAGTTTGCAACCAAACATTTAAGGGTAATTTGTGGTTTCAGGGTGTGGAAGCCAAGCGGTGTTTATAGGAACAACCCTTTTCTGGGCAGCAGTTCATGACCTGAATCTTAAGATAAGTTTCATGCCAAAATGGACCAAACATATGCAAGACAGTCAACAACAGAAAAAAAACTCTATAACATTTTAAAAATAGTAAAAAGAAAACCATTGTTTATCATTTTACTGCCTTATCTTAACAAAATCAATTTCTGCTAAGAATTTGATTAAAATTGTCATTAATTCCAAGTTCTTCCCCATTTCTCTATTATGAATGTAAAAAATACTTCTCAAATAAAACCATAACAAAGTCAACAATAGTTTATTGCAGTTGCCAATTTGATTTACGGAATATAATCCATCATCAGAATGGAAACCGTGTGGCTGTATGTTAATTATTTACGCTAAAGCAGTAGAGAGCACTGACCGGATTAAGCAGAGCCTTCCTGACGTCCTCTCCATATCGGTTCCTCAGGCATGGCCCGCAGAACTGACCCTGAATCCCTCGACAGTTCTTATTGCGGCAGCAAGTCTTTGTGTCAACAGTTTTCTGCCGGCACTGATGGCACGTGGAGCCCTGACAAAAAAATAAAGACATTATGAACTTTATACAGTGCCAAGGAAAATTATTAACCTACGTATTTAATCAGGAAACATTTATTTTCCTGCAAGATAACGACCCAAACCATTAAACTAAAGCTACACAAAAATGTGTTCAAGAAAATTTGACTGAGCTCAAAGAGTTTTGCCAGGAAACCTTGGAGCAAAACTGCAGCATCCAGATGTGCAGTTCTGATTGAAATGTGTATCCAGTAAAAACAGCTTTGCAGAGGGCAAATATTTACACAATCACTTATTTTATGTTACATATTCTTATTTGTCACTGTTTTGTAGAAATAAGTTTTCCCTTTTCCCTCTCAAAAATCTATAATTTTTTTTTTGCAACCACAGAGAAGGTTTTATGAGACCTGGTGTTTGATAAAATAGATAATCTTAAGATTAGAAAGCGGTAACTGCCAAAAATAAATAACCAGACGCATTTCTGAGCCATGTTAGATTTAGATTTTAAAGAGCTGAATAATTTGTTGCATTTTCACAAGTGGAAAGATGAGCATGTCCTTTACAGATCTGACTGGAGAAATAAACTGTGTGTGATTTTGTAAGTTGAACTGAACTTACTGTGACAGAGTTGTAAACCTTGTCAGTCATATTGTCAGCAACCAATTCCAGCTCGTCTTCTGTGATTTCCTCTACTGGACGGATGACGTGAGGGTTCTGATTTGGTCGTGGAGTGCCATGGCGACGTGGAGCTCGGCGAACCTAAAACAGGTAATGAAGTTGTGCATTACTTCAGTAAGCACCTAAATAACTATATTTAGCTCTCATTGATTACCAATGTTAGTTATACAATATCAGAATTATTTTGTAGAGCAAAACAAACATGGTTTTACCAACTAGTTTATTGTTCAGTTTGTTGTTGAACTGACCTCCAACAGCTCTTCCTCCAGGCTGAGCTCCACATCTGCTTCTGAATGGTCCTCGATTGCCCCCATAGAGCGGGTATGTCTGCGAGAAGCCCGTTCTGGGTTCCTCCTGGTCTCCCTGTCATTTTGACCAGAGCGAGGCAGGCGCTGGAGAATTGGAAATTAATCCACGTAATCAGTTAGTACCAAAGGAATATTCAGGTTAAGAGTCTTGAATTTATTAAATCTGTACTTGAATTTCAAATTCACCACCAAATAACCAAATAAAAACAACAGTCATTATTAATTATTTGAATGCATACAAATTTCAAAGTCTACATTTAGTTTTTTTCTTTATGTTTGATAAAAACACACTTTTATTCCTTGGCTTTCAACACATTGTGATATTGTTTTGTATGGCACCTTAAAATGCACCTGAAATGTTATCTGTGTACATTTTATATTTGTATATGTTTTTCTTTTTTACACATTTCTGTTTTAATGTACAGTACTTTGGCTACCCAGTGGTTTTTAAAATGTGCTATTGAAGTAAAGGCACCTCTTATTCAGACATTTAGTCTACTGCAAAACTGTCTAGACCAGCAGAAAGATGTTGATTTCCAATCTTTCCATCATACTCACAGAGCTTTTTTCTTTTGTCGTTGATCTGCCTGCTTGTTTTTTAAGAAAGCCAGCTCCTCCGGGCATTTTCTGTAGCTCTGCCATTAGCTGAGCCAACTAGAAGATAATAAATAATAAATTAATGCCAGTGCGTAATTCACCCTAAAACTGAAATTAGTCATTTATTATGACCACTGTAGTGTAGCAGGCTCACTGCTCATAGTCATAGGACTTTGTCTTATGTGAAGCATGAGGATTCATAAAATACACATATTGGTTTCCCTATAACTTAGGCTTGTGTTTGGTGATTTTCCACATGTCAAGGTGACATGTCCATTAGCACAGTAACAGTACAGACTGAAAAAATTGTGGTTGCACAACCTCATGTCAGTTGCAGTCTAATCTGCAGGTGGCAATGTTCAACCAGCTTAGGTCTAGTGACCGATGGCTTCAGACCAGAAAAACATCTTAGTCATTCTCATCTAGGGCAGAGACTTTTAAGGTGATTCAAATGCATTTGTTGCATGTGAATCACCTGAAAATTCTTCATAACCCACAATTCAGAGATTAACGAGGAGGAAAAAATTTACCTTAGATGTCTTATGGCACTAATCACAACTTCTACATCCAAGAAAACTCTTTAATTTAACATACAAATTTACAAACATTACCACAAGGCATGCGTTTCTGGTTTACCATTGCTTTGTTGGCCTTGATGTTCTGCTCTCTCTTGGCCAGGAAATTATCCGACTCATCTTTTGCAGAACCTGATCCATTATCCTCAGCCTGATGCGGTTGACTCACAGCCTTCTCTTCGTCCTCAAATTTCACATGCTTGCCCTTCTTTGACCTCTTGGGCTCTCTTGGCTTCTTCACCTCTCTCTTTGCTGCAATATTTTCTTCTTCATCCTCAAACTCTGAGAGCTGGAAAGAAGAAGAGCCAGAGCGAAGTGCAACCCTCAGCTTGAAGGGCTGACAGGCAGCAGGTGGTTTAGATGTGGTCTTTAGATCCATGGGAGAAGAGTCAGGTTGTGATTCATGTTGCAAATCCAAATTCTGTAGGTAAAAAGCAAGGATTTGTCATAAGAGCCAGATTTCTAAAACATTCTCCAGTAAAATGTATTGGTAAAAAAGGGATAAATGGATTTGGTAGTAGAATAATTAGAAGTTGTCAACATATTACAAGTAATAGTTTCTATGCCATATCTAATGTTAGGTGTGTTGGCAATAAGTGCAAAACATACCGTTTCTGTGAGCTCAGAGTCAGAAAAGCCATAAAATGTCTCATCACTTTCTGAATCCTCTGCAAACACATCCACTAGTTTCTTCATATCAACTTCACACTCCACCTGTAAGTGAAGAATAAAAACTGCTTTAAAAACTTGTGTTAGCTTAAATGCAGTAGGCATTCAGTGAGAAAAATATATACATTCATGACTTTGCCAGTGCAAACCCCTCAAGTTTCACTGGGTTCTCCAAAAGACAAACCTGTAGTTCAAACCTGATTGGAAACTAATGGCGCTTGTTATGTAGATTCGGACAGCACGAACACAACCGAGAGGGGCGGTGCTTTGTTTGCTGACGACCTATTTTAACTCCGCCCTCATGGAAAGATGTGGACACTAAAACAGACTTCCAAACATTTTCAATCAAGAGAAGATTTGTAAAAAATAAAGGTTCCTGCTTCTAAAACTTTGGTCTGTCCTCTTAATGACGACTGTCAGCGTTAAAGTAATTTTGAGGAAGAAACTAAACCTGAGGAGCTACAGTATGGCTTCCTTCAGAATAACATCATATAAATTGAGGTCGTTTGGCATTTCATGAACTCCGTCAGAGTTTTTAACTGACAGGGTTACTCTTTCAGTGATAATGTTGACAAATCTCACTTAAATGTGCAGATAATTTATTTCAATGTCTTCTGCATAAATTGCATTTCTTCACATGTATCAAGTATTTCTTTTTACTGTTTGTCACCACCTTCAGTTCTGTGTCAACTCCTTCAGATGGACTTTTAAGTTGTTTTTTATTTTATTTTGAATTATATTTCTTTTGTTTCTCGAGAAGCATTTGTCTGTAAAACTGAGTAAAAATATCACTAATAGGTTCATTAAAAAATAATTTTATATTTATTTTTGTCACAAGGTGATGAAAAAGTTCTGGGTCAGGTCCATTAAAAATTTTACTTTCAAAAAAATGTTGCAACTGGGAGTCTGTCCCTTAGCATCTTTACATTTCCAAAACATTATTTGCCATATTTATATACATAAGCTTGAAGAATAATTTTTTAAAAATCTCCTTGTAATTGCTATGACCTGTCACAGGTTTAAATGATGCTTTATTTCTGTTTTTTTTCTAACTATGAGAAAGTGTTTTTGTTGTTGTTCTTAATAATTTTACCTTTTGATTCCATATGTCCATGATGTAACGGGTTTCTGGTAAAATAATAAGAAAGTTGTGCTTGTGTAATTCATATCCGCTGAATCATCTCACTATATTTCAGTATCACATTACAAAGCTGCGTTTTTTTGCCGTTGCGTACACGACGTACGTATCCTTTAAGGGAGGGCGTGGCTTCCTGCTGCAGAGAAGGAAGCCTTAATGCGGAAGATAAACAAAAGCCTCCCTATTTCTGACTTTTCAAGAACAGGGACAAAGTCCACAGGTAAACCGTAAAAATATTTTTACAGATTTTATATTTTGCTATCAAATCAAGTACATATGATCTACAATCATTAGAAGGCTAAAATTATTTTAGGGTGTCTTGCTTGGAAAATAGACAAATGTCTTCCTGTATTCGAAAAATAATTTAGAACTTTTGCTACACTGTTGTTTAACGTTGTTTTAACAACGATACCTCATACAACTAGTTTAACTTTGGCTTGAAACAGCAGTTTCGAGTCTTTTAACCCCTGCATTCAGTTTGAAGGGTAATATGTTTTCATAAACTGTTTCTTATTGTAATCCCTTCAACCAAATTAAAGAAATTTAAGTAAAAGTGAAATCAGCCTGTGTGTTTACTCGTTGTTATCCCTTAAGAACTATGCTTTACAGGAAACACCCACTGTGGTCTGTAATGAAAAAATATATAAAAATATGCAGATTTATTTAGTTTTTGTCAGAATCATTCCTCTTATTTAATTTTAACTGGTCACTTCATAAATAAAGTATGATACACTTACTGGCCTATTTATTGCTGACACAATTTTACTTTTGCTTTCTGAACCACCTTAATTCTTCATAGCTTGATTCAAGAACATGTCAGAAACGTTCAATTGAGATTTTGGTTCATGTTTACAAGACAGAATTCCAGATTTTGGTACCAAAGGATTCAAAGTGTGCCAAGAAATTCCCCAGACCAAACGCAAAGCCACCACAAAAGGCGGGATGGATTCATCCTTCATGTCGTCAAATTCAATTTCTGACTCAACCATTTTAATGCTGCATCTACAATCATCATTGATTGGACCAGGCAGCATTTTCCAATCTGTTTCTTTCCAATTTCTGGGTGTTCTTAGGAGTGACACCCAGATTTTGTTGTTTGATGTGTCCTGCATTTAGAGATGGTGTACTTAAGCGATAACGAGGCATTGTTAGAACTCCTAGTATCTTGTTTCCCAAACCTGTTACCTGTGGCCTGCTCATTGTCCTCTGACCTTTGACTTTACTATAAGATTTTTAACAGCACAACTTCCCCTTAGTGGATATGTTACAATCTGATTGACCGATTCACTATTTCTGGAGACAAACAACGACATAGGGATAAGTATTAACAGTAGCTAGCAAATGTATGTTTTGAAAAATCATTCTAAAAAACTTTAGTTTTGAATACAATTTCATGTTTACTATCAGTTTCTTCTCAACAACCATTTGTCGTTTTTGATTAGGATAGTTTTATGGAGAATGAAGAGTTGTGGTTAAAATAAGTTATTATGCAAGATGTTAATGTGGACAATATCCAATGTTTTGTGTCATTGCATTGTCAAAGACTAAATAATATAAATCTTTTGCAGGAGGTTTTTTGAGACCTAAACTCTTCGTCTAAGCAACTTAATACACAGACTATGTGGCCAAATCAAGGTGGGATTTCACACCAGGCCATAACACAATTTTTGATAAGTTTGATGCAAGTTATATCTGATCACTTTTCTAAGGTGCATAATTGTGCTGCTTTTCCATATCAGGTCCTCCTCCTCAAATGGGTCCCCAAAACCCTGCCTTCCCTCCAGGCTACAACCCTACATTTCCCAATGCTCCTGCATCTGGAATGTTCCCCCAGGGTCCGAACCCTGCATACCCTGCAGGCCAATTCCCAGCTCCCATGAACCCAGCCATGGTTCCCATTGCACCTCCAGGGGCTCCTGGACCCCATGCATATCCCATGGCTCCTGGAGGTGTTCATCCAGGTCCATATCCCCACTCTCCCAAAGGGGGCCACCACAAGGGCCATCACAAGGATCCTCATTATGGTGGGTTACACCCTGGGCCTGGAATGGTTGTTGGAGGACATGGACACAAAAAGCATAAGAAGATGAAAAAGATGAAGAAGGTGAAGAAAGAACACAAGCATGGACACCACAAACATGGCAAGGTGAGTTTTGGCTTGGTTCAAACTGGAAGTGATTGTGCATAAAACAGTGTAAAAATTTGTGAAAGATCCTTTTTGTAATGACCATCTTGACATTTTTGTAATCACCCAGGAAATAACATACTAAAATTAATGTTTTTTAAGAAATAATAATATGATATGCAATGTAAAGATGGAAATTGTGAGTAGTAGCATCTTGCACCTGTTGGAACAATGAATTATTGACATTAAGGGATGCACTGCTCTCATCCAGGATGACTGATTATTTTATTGATTAATTTGTTATGCCCTAATTTAAACTGCAATTGTGTTTGTTGTTGTTTTTTTTTTTGTTATTCTGACTCCCATGACTCCAGTTGTTTGTATTGTCAGTCTTGTACTAAATGTAATAGTTTATTGCATAAACTTTGACTGCAAAAGCTGTAATTTCTGCTTAAACCTGGCAATATGAAATGTTTTATTGTTTCATTATGTATGTTTTTTGTCTTTACAGCATTCAAGCAGCAGCAGCAGTAGCAGCAGCAGCAGTGACTCAGACTAAATCGTCAAGCTCAACACTCAGCCTTCATGCAATAATTATTCTAAAAGCGCAACTTATTACCTTGAATCTAATCTTATCACTTTTACATCCACAAGTATGGTATTTCATAAACTCTTTAAATTTAATTTATGACACTAAAGCAGAATGCACACTCGGAGTTACTTTCAGTTTCTGAGATTCAGTTTATTCCTCTTACAGGACATGGGACGTTAATTTGTAGTTAGATAATTCATTTTCTGCTACTGCAGTACATAAATTCTCCATTTGTGTAAATGTAAATGCTCAAAAATAAGTGAGCAGTTATGACGCATTTTGTTTTTTAAGATGTCATATAGAAAATGAGTGCAATTATTGTTTTATGTTCTAAGTAGAATATTAGCTAAGTGCAGAGTTGGACCCATTATGTCGTTGTCAACATCTGATTTTATTCTCAATACTACATGGCTTCAAAATAAATATATCAATCGACTACGTAGTAGTGTGTTTTTCCCCATTTGATTTCAATACATCATATTGCAAAATAATTTCTATCACATTGTATTGAAATAAGATTGCTTTGTGAAATGCAGATGATTCTTGTTTTATCTGATAAAATATCATTGTCTCATTTAATTTAATGTTTATTATGTGAGATGTGACTAATGGCTTGAAAATTGAACATCTTAGGGTTTTTATTTCATATGTAAGAATCACTTGAGAGAACACATAAGTAATATAACTATTTTTATTCTGACTAAATTCATCTCTTTGGTAAGTTGTGGGTATTGGGAATATGCTTCAGTAAGATTATCTGCTAATTTTCAGATAAATGTTACAATTATTTTCTTTTTATGGAGGAAAATCCTGCAATCTTATTATGTAATGCTTAACAGCTATTTGTTTCAATTTCTATAACTGCCTTGCTTGACATATTTTCTCTGCCACTCACACAACAATTTCTGGAGATCGGTTCCTGTAACCCACAAAAGAAAAACATTTGTAAATGATAGAAAAAGGCCTACAATAAATTTTAACACGTTTGTACTTTCAGGATCATAAACCTCAATTGTGAAACCCATAATTTCTGACTGTTGGACTTTGAACTTGCCAGCCCACAAAACAGGCTCTAAAATTTTAATTGTAACCACTTAACGATGATATACCTTTTACTCTATGACCTAAGCTGGAAAATATTGACTTACGTGTTTTGGGCTTGTTGAGGAAAGAGGGAACTCCAAGGACATTGTTAGTACTGAATTCCTTTCTCACATGATCACTGATGAACAGATTAGTCACTCACTACACCGTGTTCCAAATTATTATGCAAGTGATATTTTCTCAGATTTTCTTAAATGGACAATGCAAATGATGGTCAGTATAATTTTCAAGTCATGAACCATTACAGAAAAAATCAAATTTTACTGAACAAAGTTCTCCTTTGTTCAGTAAAAACAAGTTTTTTATTTTAATTTTTTTAAATAAAAAACTTTGTTTTATATTTTTTATGTTTAATTTAAAAAAATTATATCTATTTTGATTAACACTGATTTAGAATGCTTACTTTAAGGTTTTTTTCGATTTAAAAAAATATATATGTAATAAGATATATATCTTATGTACATATGTGTTTGTGTTTCACATAGTAAAACACAAACACATCTCTGAAAAAAATAATGATTTATAAAATATATATTTAGTTTTATTCCTATGTTTAGACTTGCTCACTCATCGCTTTTCTGGTATGATTCAACCACATATTATAAGTTAAAGCATTAAAAAACCCACAAAATTAAATCTTACATCATTTACTTTGGCCCTATTTAAAATAAGAGCATATTTCTGTGATACAGGACCTTTCTGAAAATGTAGGTTTAATTCTAAAATTGTTTGGTTGTAGTGTATAAGTGTTAGAGGTCATCGAAATGTATAACCACAAAAACAATAAATAATTTATACTGTCATGATTGTCTGAATAGACAGAATATTTTTTTCTCTTTGTAAATGTTTTCCTGACATTGATTTTGTAGAGCATGTGATTCTGCCTAAAGCATTTTGTGACACAGTTGGTCCATGACGTAATGGTGTTCTGGTGCAGGCACCATTCACAGGTGTGAATATTCTGCTAAGAGGTCATGTGAGTGTTTCTGTGGTAACTCCTGACTCCTCCCTGTGGAAACATCCTCCACTGTGTTCTTTGACGGCTGTTATCGTAGCTTCGGTGAGTGAGGAAGCAAAGTAGAACAAGTCTTTCAACTTTTCATTCCCCGTCAGCTGCTGCGTGTCGCCTTTACGTGGGTGCCCTTTAAGGGAAGGCGTGGCATCTTTTTGCATTTTAACATAGCTTCGATGCGGAAGTCTAACAAGACGTTACAAGTTTCTGACAAAAGCTTTTCAAGAACAGGTAGGAACTTTTGTTTACGGAACATATGGAGGTTAAGGGCTTTGCTAAACCTCCCTAATTACAGGATTCGTGTATTTTGTGGTGTTTGTTTTGCTTGTAAAAATGCTGGTTGTTAGAGTTTAAATACGGTCTAATGATTGACACATAATTAAATAATTGTTTCTAATTTCTTTATATGTGTGAATAAACACGTTTGAGTTGATCTTACGTTTCATTAAAATTATTTGTTTTGTAAAACTGCTATCTTTCTAATGTTTAGCTTATTTTAGTGGGTTCATACATTCCTTTTCAAGGATATTGTGGGGCTGTCATTCATCACTCGATCTTATGGGAAAGCATTTTCATCATTTAGTCCATGTGTGATGAACAGAACACGGGGATGAAAATGAGTATTCAAACATGTGGAAAAGTACAATCTTTTTTGATCTGAACATCTCAGTATATCAGAATCTCATTGATAAGTTCATTTCTACCTATAAAGTACATCAAAGGGCACAAGTTATTTTGATATATTCCTTTATTATATCATTAACTTCTCTATACTCAGGATTATGGATTTAAAAACTTTATTTTGATCAAAATTCAGTTTACTAGAAAGTATGAATAATTTACATGAGGCCAGTGAAGTATATTATATGATTACAGTATAAGTTATGGTCTCCTTTTGCTTGAATTACTACATTAATGTAGCATAACTTTTCTGGACTAAGTACTTGTACCTGTGACCAATAGTTTGGACTTATTCTCCATGGCTTATGAAGTTTACTCTGGGTCAGGAGTAGTTAAAGTACAAGAACTTAGTTGTTGCCCATGTTCACACTTCTTCTGTGTCTGGTGACTCCTGAAGCAGCAGTCCATGTTTTGCAAAGTTCCCTCAAAGTTTGGTACAGGTCCCGGCTTCATAATCTTCTCAAAGCTGGACTTATTCCTATCTGTTTGGTTTAATTTTTATAGAGGCTTTATTTTTAATTAGGGTACACTTGGTTAAGGTAGTTGAACCACTGAATATGTAGGACATAAAATAAGACAGAGCTTGAAGTAGACTTTTTACAATCTGTCTTTACTGCATGTTTGTAAATGATTTAATCCATAAACATTCCTTATTTTTAGGACTATTTCTGTGACTTGTACTTATCTGCTGATCAAGCTAAAGCACAACCCATGTGGCCAAATCAAGGTAAGCATATCAAGCCCTGTATCACATTCTAACTTTTATGAAGTAGAAGGTGTGTGATTGTGCTTCTTTTGTGCATCAGGTCCTCCTCCCCCTCCAGTGGGTCAACAAAATCCTGCATTCCCTCCTGGATACAGTGCTCCATATTTATCTGCCCCTGGACCTGGGGTTTACCCCCAGGCTCCATATCCTGCTTACTCTGGATACCCTACAGCCCAGTATCCTCCAGGCCACTACTCCGCTCCTGTGAGCCCAGCCATGATCCACCATGGACCTCCAGGACCGATGCCCCATGGACCTCCAGGGGTAATGCCCTATGGACCTCCTGGACCATATGCATATCCCATGCATCCTGCGGGACATTCTTGCCATCCCAAAGGTGTTCATTTGGGTCACCTCCTGCACTTCCCAAAAGGTTTTGGTCATGGCCCACACAAAGGTCATCATCATCATCATCACCATGATGGGTTTAACCCTTCAGCTGGAATATTAGCTGGAGGAATGGCAGTGGGAATGGGCTTACTTTCTCACAAAGCTAATAAGAAAATGAGGAAAAAGATGAAGAAGGCTCATAAATATGGCCACTACAAGCATGGCAAGGTGAGGCTTGTTTAAAAAGCACGGATGTCAATTAAAATGATTATTCTGACACCTGAAATAATAATACAAGGGCACAGGTTAGTCCTGAAGCAACAATCTTTGTCTAAAAGCAATAGAAACTCAGTCAGCAACTTTTATTTAAATTTGTGGTGCCTTAGACATCAAAAGGAATTCTGATTCATGAAAAAAGCTTAGGTTGCTGACCAAAACAGTTTCCTGACAGAATAAAACATTAGGCTAGTTTTACCTCCCTTTGGCCTGGAGGATTTATGCCCTATCTAAATAGTAGAATTTCATTTTCACTGGAAGTTTTTCTCTATCAAATAAAACACAAGTTGTTTTGTGTGAAAAATATTTATTTACATGTTTTCTTCACAGTGGTCCAGCAGCAGCAGCAGCAGCGACTCAGATTGAGGCCTTCAGAGAACGAATCATCCAATACTCCAACTAATTCAACTAAAATCACTGCACAAGTACATTGTGTTATAATATCAGTTACAGTGCATTTCTGACATTTGAAGTCACACAAGATATTTCTTCCAGGGTCTAAACTTAAATTTCAGTCGGTGTGTACCATTGAAATAAAGGAATTTGGCATATGGATTTGTTTGCTACTGCTATTTTTTGTTTTGCTTTTAGTTTCATTAGTGTAAATGCAAAAATACAAGACATAAGATATAAAGTTGCCTTTTACTTGAATTTGTAAATATATTCAATAGTAACGGGTAGGATACAGAGTATAGTATAATGTCATGTTGAGTATTAAGAAGGTATAGTTTTTTTTTCTTGTATTTCTATTCTAATTTCTTTGAAAACTTATTCAAATATTTTAAAATGTTACTCCATAATTGGATGTACAGTCATACTCATTACAGATTCACATTTTGTGTTGTTACAGTCACAAACTGATGTGTGTTTTGTTGTAATTTTGTGTAAATAATACAATAAAACTAAAATCTATAAATTGCGGCATTCTTGTACTGTGCATACAGCTGCCTTGTTAAACCACCTGCTGCTGCAATTACAACTGCAAGTATTTTTTGGGGGTACATCTCTACTTGCTTTGTGTATCTACAAACATTTGTGCCCCATTTTCTTTGCCAAATAGCTAAACCTCAGCCTGACTTAACGGAGGTGCATTTTTGAGCATCAATTTTCAAGTCTTGCCACAGGTTGTCAGGTTTTTGACTGGGATGTTTTAACACATAAATATGCCTTGATCTACGCCAGCCCATTAGAGCTGTGGCAGTATGTTTATGGTTGTTATTCTGCTGGAAGCTTTACATCAAGTCTTTGGCCACTTATAACATTTCACAGAACCGATCTACATTTAACGGCATCCATCTTCTCTTTGTTTGCAGAAGAAAAGGTTCCTCACCCCATGGCGCCACTACCACCATATTGTTATGCATGATGTCATGCAGTGTTTGTTTTCCACCACACACACCTCACCGTTTTGCATGTAGATCAAAAAGTGAATCACACAAATAATATTCTACTACCAAGACTGATGATCTCTACAACTCCTCCAAAGTCGTCATGGTAACTTTGGCTGCTTCTCTGAATGATTCATCCTTGCCAAGTCTGTCGGCTTATTTGAACAATCATACCATAGTAGGTTTGCGGTTGGGTCAGCCAGGCTCTTTCCAATTCAGATAATTGATTACAAGCTTAAAACTCCTCCAGGCGTTTATCTGTGCCCTCCCTGGTGTGTTTCTTAGTCTTTAAAAAGCTGTTAATTCACTAATGTGCGCATATAAACCTCGGTATTGTACTGGTCTATCATATAAAATGTTTAAAATAAAGTTGTAAGTGGACCTTGACAAAATTTGAAAATGTTCTACGTATATTTTTGTTATGCATTTTTTAAATATATTTTAGCGTTTTAAAGCAGAATAATATTGCTTTAAGCATCATTGGTCTTTAGATTTTAAATATCTTATTTTCAACATTATTTATCAAACCTTGCCTAAGACGTTCTTATTTTTGTAATTTGTCATTTCTGACGGTCAATTTGATTTTTATTTAGCTAGTTTTAACCTACTTTTAAACACAAAACGTGTGCGTATCATTTTAAAAAAACAACACAAAATAGAATTTGTTTTGAATGTAATTATTATTTACCGTATGGTAGCATCACATATGGATGAAGCGATATTTGTCTGTAGCATCTTCAGTTCAAACTCCTGGCTGGCGCTGGTAAGGGTTTTTTGATGGGTGAAGGGTGGCAGTTCAAAGGTTACGGTGTTGTTGTCTTTGTGTAAAGGAGTGGAGCTCGATCTCGCATCACTCTTCCCTCTTCCCCGAGTCCTTTCTAAACTCTCCCCCGGGTTTTTACCCTCCCGAACCTCTCCCCTTCTACCCTTACAACCCCAACCCTCCCCCCGATCAGTCCGCAGCGCTCTGGGCAGGTGAGTTTTCTGTGATGTTTCTTATTTTCTAACATATTTGTTATGGTCAGAAGTAGCGGAAACAAATCGCGCCTGTGCAGCGTGCTAATAGGCCGCGTGAGGACGATGAGCACGCAATCTGCGCTCGGGGTGATGTGGCTAGCCTAGCCTAGCTTATTTTAAAGAGCTACAACAGAGAGTCCCTTTATAGCACTTTTAGTTACTAATTTTCATAGTTTACAAAGCACATTTGTGTAAGAGATAACAACAATGCAATTCAATTTACCTTGATTTGAGTTAGAATCTTTTCGAAATGCTGACGAAGTAAGCTAACTAGCTAAATATGCTAACAAGCACATGCATTCTCCATTCATTTTCCTAGCACGGCTACAGAGGGCTAAGGGACTTTCATATTTCTTAATAATTTAAAATCTCTCCTTAAATCTTCAATATAGGCGTTTAGGACTTATTTACAATCGAATTAATTCATGTTTGTTGCAAATAAAACACAGTCGTCTAGATGAGGCTTTAGAAGAAACACGGCAACCAGTTTGTTACTAAACTTGTTTCAAGGCTAGCGAACATAGTTAGCATGTTACCATATGTTATTTTTTCCCCTGGAGGTAATAGATTTACTATGTGATGTGGATGGATCAGCATTCACCCACAATTTGAAAGCCTACAACAACAGAACTGCAGAAAAACCTTAAAGCTTAGGATTTTCTCTTGTGGTATACGTCAGTGTGCTAGACAATTAACATTTTAATTAGCGACCTGTAAACCAATTACCTAATTGTGATATACGTTATATATATATATATATATATATATATATATATATATATATATATATATAATATATATAAAGATCAATCACTTAAGTTTGCCATTAAGTCTGAAATATGAATTATATGAATTTAAAGGGAGTGTGTATATTTTCTGATTTTATCAACAATTCACTGAGTTTATTAAATTACCTCCCATGCCTTGTAATAGTTATCCACCAATAGAATTATGAACTTTTAATAAAGTTTGAAGCATGAAACAAAACTGCTGTAACACTGCTGTGTTACAGCTTACATTTCCTTTTTCATTCTTATGCATGATAATGTTTTTCTGTATTTATGCTATTTAGATCCATCTCTGTGACCAAAGACACTCAGTTTCTGTACGGACCACTATAGTTGCAGCTATGGACTCCGGAGTAATTGAAGGCGGACTCAATGTCACCCTTACTATAAGGCTGCTCATGCACGGCAAGGTGAGATCACTCAACAGTAGCTCATGTGGATACTCTAATACAGCATGCTGCTTTATTGATGAAGTTGATGTTCAACAAGATATGTAGATGAAGGGGAGTAGTGAAAGTAAATGGTTATTGAATCCTTGATCTCAAGAGAAAATGTAGAGACAAGAGTTTGATCTCCTACGTAAGGCAGTATTTATGATTATCTTTTATTCAAGTTGTGCGACAACTTTTGCAGTCAGGCTGAGTCTCGGTTTAATCGTGTGTTGTGCATCGTGTAGTATACCGGGGGGAACCAGAAGGGATTAGCGCCCCACAACAAGATCCCAAAGACCAATTGTACGAATTGCGTATGTCCCTCGTGTTGCAGGGGAGTATGCAGTGTTGAAGCAATGTCATGTGCCAATTTCACCTGAAGCTCACACTCTCAAGTCACTCACTGGAATGCTACTCAAAAAATATAGACAACTGGCTTACTTTCATTAAGTAAGAGGAGCAATATAATATATATTACTATTGTAATTAAATGGTGCATATTTGGAAGTGGATATGACAGTATAAAAGAAGCTGAAATTGAAATATTGGAGTTTATGAACTTTCCATGTCTTAAAACAACATAAAGATATTTACTTTTTTTTCTCCTAAGCATTTCTCCTTCCGTATTTAATTTATGGTCCATACATCTCTCTCACCTTAACACTCATTATTTTATTTTTTAACAATAAAAGCTTATGTTTCTCTGCACAGAAAGGCGAGAATTGCTTAGGCAGCATGTTTGTTTTTGTTGAGCATTGTCTTATTCTTGGCCGAATGTCTCCTCCCTTTATTTTTCATGTTTTTGTAGTTTCAGATTCAAGGCTGTGATGTGTAGTACGTGTGAGCAGCCAGGTTGCATCTGAACTTCGATTCATACAGTGTGATGTATTCATACAGGTTCAGCTGGAGTTGAATATAATGACTGAAAATACTGGGCGTGCAGTGTTTGTCTAGCTGTAGGCTGTTAAATGCTCAATGGGTTTCACTGGAATATTCTTCAGCAATAACAACAATCCATTTACAATTTGTTATGTAAATTGAAGAGAAACAATTTACATAATAAATTATTCCTCTTATTTTTAGTGTTTTTATTCCAATTAAATTTTTTCAGTTCTCATTTATCTTGAGTTTATGCTGGCCTTTTTAAAAATACTGTACTTATTAAAAAAATGTTGAAACGCACCAATCAGTTGCTCAGAGACTGAAATTTTCCTTTTATCAACTTTACCTGGTGAACACAGAATTTATTTTTTACTTTTCATTAAATGTATAAACTTACAACTCCGGCCTTTTTAGTCTATAAATATATCAACAAATACAATATACTTTGATCTATTTTTTTTTTTTATCTAATAGAGTTCTAGGGCCTTTAAAACTACGACTCCCATCAAAACGCATTTTTTTCTTCTGTGTGCCAAATTGGCAAATCCATTGAAAGCCTTAATGGTGCATCTCTAATCTAAATCTACCTTATATTTTAATAAATGGATGCTGATTGGATGTACAGAAGTTGGACTTAGTAATACACATGTTATCCATGGATTTTTTTATTTTTTATTTTTGCTTTTCTGTTTTTTTTTTTTCTTTTTTTTTTTTTTTTTTTTTTTTTCCTTTTAGCACCATCCCATGCTTAAAAATTTGCAGCCTGAGGCATTGGCTGGCATTTGTCCCCAGGCCATCTGGCCCTTTTGACAGCATAGCTGCACACGCTCCATGGTGTGAGTTCTGCTGTAGCCTAGTATGGCGGTTTTAAAGGCAGCTGCACATTCTTGGTATTTTTAACTGCAGATATATCAAACTGGTGAGATATAAAAAAGTCAAACTGTGCTAAATTATGTTGTATTAGTAGAAACATGTTTTTCATCTGTATTTTCTCCAAATCCTACCCCTTGTAGTATCATTTCCTGAGGTCTAGAAAAAATATATGCAACTAAGAGAAATTCTCACCAATTATGTTTATATTGAGCTCAAACTGGCAGTCACTAACATGTTAGAAGTGTACATGAAAGAAAGTTTTATTCCCAAATTCCTAAACATTATTTCTCTGTAGCTTTTCCATGAATGGTAAATTATTCTGCTAGTTTGTGTTGAGCTGGTTTTAGATATTAAATATCTCTGCGAGAGATACTAATAGTTAGCTAATGCTGGTTTATTCAGAATTAACACATGTATTGCAACATCCCCTGTTGCGTACTGACACAGTGAACCCTGGATTGCTACATTTGTTTTAGTTTTAAGTTTTAGAATTTAACATCAAGCTCCCAATTCTTCAATAGGCTAATTTATGTAAAC